TGCACTTTAACGGCCCAGGATACACACTGCATGACTATGTCCACTTTTCAAAAAATGGTGTTAACAGAGTGTAAATACATGTATGGAAATAAAATTAACTAATATATTTGCATGAAACATAAAATATGTTACCTGGGTCCCTTTTAAATTAAGAAATCCCATTACATAATGAGGGGAAATTATTTAATTGCTGAAAACTGTGCATAAAAAATAGTGAGAGGCAGGTTGCTTTACATCAAATTAATTGATATTCATTGAATTTTGAATATTTTCTTATTGGACTGTCAAAATTGTAATCATTTACAGGATTAGACACTATTTCCCATGACAAAATTTGCATTATCGCAAAACACAGAATTCGGAAAAATTAAAATGGAATCTGGAAAAAATGTAAATTGATTTCACTGGGCCCTAACCATGAATAATGGTATTGAAAACCTCAATCTGTGTCTCGCAACATCACTATCATCACATTCTGATCCTGAATGCTGACCAATGAGGAAATGACTCATTTAAAAGGAAATATGACCACAACATGGTAGAAGAAAGCACTTACATTTCTGAAGTCCAGTGTTCATCTGCGTGCGGGAGAGAAGTCGGATGGTAGGGTCACCTGATGCCGGCAGACAGGCCAGCATGTCACTATTCCACTAATGCAACATGGGACACCTTCTCCTCACCATACTGAAGACAAACAGAGCAGACACGATTCAGCCGCTGACAGACACTTACGTTGGTGTGAAATGACTTTGCTGTTGCCTATTTTCACATCCCGTACAGTTTGACCTTTTGCAAATGGCAGCTTGTAATAAACTGACATCATGGTTCTGTGTGTGCACCCTGCACCAGGCATAGAGCTGAGAGGGAACAAGATGCTTTTTTATTGAGCAAAACATCACATGTAGGCTGCAAGCCAACCAGCTATCTTCTTTAAACTCACACAGTATCAAAAAAAAAAAAACTAACAGCAAACAAAACAAACAAAAAAAAAACAACCCACACACAGGTTTTTAATAGGTCATGTTATGAAAAGCTTGACCAAAACATGTCCAAGAGAGCACTTTAGCTCACAAATTAGCTTAATCAAAAGAAAATTATGGGAATCAGACTGTACCACTGTAACAAGTCAACTTTAAGTATTTCAACAGTGGACAAGGGAATAATCATGCATGTATGCAAACTGAGGATTAATCAGTAAAATTATGCCAGAGTATACCATAAGAACACTTACTGGTCACACAGGGCAGGCTAACAGAGGCAGTCACCATCTACACTGGAATCTTATTTTAAATGTGGTAACATTCAAAAGGAGATGCATTCATATGTTTCAATTCTGTCTAAAAACAAGACTTCCCCCATATATAAATGGAAATTGCATTGCATTTTTTGCTTTGTTCCTTTGTTCTCTGACAAAATCCACAGTAGGGCTGCAACTAACGATTATTTTAATTCACAATAAATTGGCCATTATAGAGTCCTAATCCTCACGGTGACGTCTTCCATTGGTTTGTTTTGTCTGACCAGCAGTCCTAAACCCCAAAACATTCAATTCATTATCCTGTAAAACAGCATAACAACTCAGAAGCTGGAACTAGGGAATGTTTGTTTTTCAAGCAAAACATACAAATCAACCATCAAAAGTAAATTTCTAATGATTTAACTGACTCATTATTTTAGCTCTAGTGATATGGCTTGGGTCAGTGTTGCCGTAGTCACCACCTGAAACATGTTGTTAGCTTATATTAGAGGTGTGACATGAAGAGGCAATGTTGACCACAAGTACATAAGGCAGAGTTTTAGGAAACATGCACGTCTCCATTAGCTTAATACCCTGTTCCCTTCTTAGGGTTAAACCAATCTGCTGTTATCAGTAATTCGGCACTCGTTCAGACCCTGTAACTGGATCAGCTGTTGACCTTGCAAGAAAGAGCTTCTTCGTCAGTGTCATTATAAGATTCAGTGTTTCTGCTATTCTCTAATTCATTTAGTCATGATGCGCTGCTGACTCTGTTTTTCAGTATAATCCACGCCCTTACATAAAAATGGTTCCAGTGATGCAGTGAGCGAGACAGATTGACCTCAAAAAGGTATACACTCTGGCTGTTCTACCACAGTGGTAATGAACATACACACACACACACACACACACATATATATATATATATATATATATATATATAGGTGTCACATTTGACTTTAGGAAGGTTTGATAATCATCAAATTTTTAAAAATCTTATGGACCAAATGAGTCAATCATTAAAACAGCTGTCCGATTAATTGAAAGTTCAAATAATCATTAGTTGCGGCCTTATTGCAGAGATCCCTTAAGTGTTTTCTTATGGTTTAGTCACACATCATTTTGCAGATTCATCACAGATTTGCAGACAGTTTATGATTCATCATTAGTTCACTTCCACTCTCCAATATATTTTACTGACTTGTCATAGTGGTACGGCCTGAATGATCTCTTAAGGTTTTAGATTCAATTTATTGGTGAGATAAGGTGTAGTCTTGGCTATGTACAGCATGCATTTGTGTTACCATATATATACCATTAGATTTATATTATTTTATATATACTGTCATTCATATCCACCTATATCATGTACATAAAGCAACCTGTTACAATCATCCCATATTTATTTCAGCACTCTTTGTACTCTGCACCATCGCACTATTGTCTTACTGTATACAAATGTCATTGTAGTTCACACATGCACACAGCCTATCCTTGTTGTCCTTGTTTTTAGGTGTGTCTACTTCTGTGTAAGTACATTGGGAGTCAAATTCCTTGCATGTGTTCACATACTTGGCCCATTAAGTTTATTCGAATATATTCAATAAGACTCTTGGCTTTTCTATTTGATCTGAAAGTAAATGCATTAGGCTATAAGGCCAGTGCTTCTATGCTTAAATGGGTGTATCTTTTAATCCTCTGTATCCCTCAGGAGGACGCAGTGCAGTGAGTGTAAAGGAAAAGAGGATCTTCATTAATGCAGACTGGATAATGTGACCTTTTCTACAGACAGAGGCCACACTTACCGTGTGGATCTAAGGCATCGTCCTCAGTTGACGCCTAAATTAACCTTTTGTCAGATTTGTGAACGTGTCGGATCACACAGTTAGTACAATAGTGAGGCAGGTTAACTCTCAGACAGCCCGAGCCCGTCCCCAGGCTCATAGTGAGGTAGGTTAACTTTCAGACAGCCTGTCTGTAGCTAGGTAACGTTAGCCATCTGTCTAGCAATCCAGCCTTAATCTGCTGTAATTTAAAACAGCTAGCTAGCGCTGCTACCGATCTAATCAATGTAGCTGGTCTATTTCAGCAAGCAAACACACAATGACTACACACTACAGGGCCAAAGCTGCCCCCATCTTAAGGAAAATCAAAAATTTTCATCGTTCAGTAGGTTAGCTCGAGTCAAGCACCACAATAAATAAGGAGCTTCTTTGTGCTTATTGTGACCAGGCCAGCTGGTTAGCAAACTTTAGCTCTTCATTGACGGAAAACACCGACGTCACCCAAATTAAAGAGCGCAATACTTACTCCTCGCGAATCTATGAGTAAGGAAACTTCATTTTGTGGAGATATAATGTTGATAGTGTCTTTTAAAAATTAGGAGGCCATCCCCGGTGCTGGATCTTCGTGCTGCTGCTGTCTGGCTACGGCAGCAACCTTTCTCGCGCATGCGCAAGGGGCCAGGACCCCGGTTCTGCATTTAGGCATCAATGGTAAACGCCTGTCCAATAACTCACACAGATGAGATGTTTTCTAAGGGACTGTTCGTTGCCTGTGAGGGGGAAGGGCGTGGTGCAAAAATAGGCCATGTCTAATTACTCCATTTATCATGGCCAAAAATATAAATACAGAAATTATTTTTGGATTTTCAAAGTCTCCGCCAGTCCTTGGACACATCATGTGTGACAAATGCTTCCATCATAAAGAAGCATAACTAAATCTGAGCTTAAAATAGTGATTTCATCGACATCACTTTATTCTACATGTCATTTGACATTTGGCCAAAAATAAACCCTCAAGTACTTCTTCTTCAACTTCTGATTTTGAAAACATCAAAGGGTAAGTTTTAAAAATCTAGTAACTAATTTATGTGGGAGGGAGGGTCATACATTTTCCACCAGTCACTCAGCAATGCTCAAGGAAAAATATCTGAAGCTTCTGGGAGGTCCAAAAATAAAAAAGAGTCACATCCCAGCCACCCCGCCTCCTCTAGTAAGTAAAGAACAGTCCCTTACTTCAAGTCTGTTCTAGATGAAGCTTTTAATTCTTATAAAATGCTGGTTAGTTTATATAAAAATAAAACATATTTTAATTGTTCTATTGTCTATGTAAAAATCCAAGAGAGCTTTAGCCAGCTCTCACACTAATTACTTACTGGCTTCATCTATGATAATGCATCATAATTTAGTTGATTATATTTTGTATCAGTGATTTGGATCTACAAAGTAACTAAATTTATTAAGTGAATGTAGTGGAGTAAAAGTACAATTTTTGGCTTCCCATATGTAGCTGATTAGATATATAAGTAGCATAAAATGGAAATGTTCAAGTAAATTATAAGTAGCTGAAACTTGTGCTTGAATACTTAAGTAAAAAAAATCAACTACTAAAAAAAAATAAAATTATTAATCCTGCCTTTAAATATTGACTTACTACTGGCACCAAAAAAAGTACTTAATCTATTCATTATGCAGTATGCGCCCTGTCAGTATTGAATTATATTTAAGTATAAGAAAATATTGAGTATTTAAGGTTATTTTTTAACGTACTTTTACTGGGAATAAGTTTGACTTCAGAAATAGAAGGGACACAATGAGGAGTAAAGGGCCATGAGCAAATGCCACTTATTTACATAAACATACAATAACCTATCATGAAATTCTCCTTCTGGAAGTATAACAAAAAATACAAAACTGACAGAAACAGATAACATCTCTAACCAAAACTGACAAATAATAAATAAATGAAGCATGCAAAGAAATTATGACTGAAATCTGGCTTTATTTTCTATTAAAGGAGTTTTGACTATCTTCATATATGTATATTTATATATATATATATATATATCTAACACGTTGTACATCACCACACCTCAAACCAAAATTAAGAAGCCGATTCAGGAAACAGTGAAAAACATATCAATAATCAAATAAATAAAATTTGCAGAATAGTCAATGGCAAAATAAATAAATCATTACATTTGGATTTATTAGAACAACAATTAGCTAAGACTGAACGGATTATTCTGAGTACAGATGGGTGACATGCAGCAAGAGCATACATGGCCGTTTGAGACACACAGTAGTGCACGTGTTGTAAATAACATTAGGGATATAACACAAATATGTCATATATACAGTGGACACACTGGAAGCTAAACAAATCAGCATGGTCACAGTATTTGTCAAGTAACTAAATCAGCAAAGGATGAGCACAAAAAAAGATATTAACAATAATAATAATAACAGTCTTCTGTGAATCCTATGTCAGTATGCTCACATTGGCTGTTTACTTCAGTATCACATAAAACTACCTCTGTATTTGTTGTCACCTGCTTGAGATATGAGGCTCAAACTAAACATTACTGTCTCGCCACTTCAGGTGTAGTGTAGGTGAGCGCAGCTCTTTTCAGCGCTGAGGGGAGATGAGGGACATGCCCCCCTCCTTTAAACATCAGATCCTTTGTACTGCTGCACTGATGCTAAACATTTGGTGCATTAGACTCCAAAACAACAAAGCATTGTGACCATTCACAAACAGCAACATCAAAGATTTAAATAGATAAAACATTGTGTGGTAAGTACTCTGCTAAAAGATACTTCTATATTTGATGTCACAGTCATTAAAAAACAAACACTGAACAGAGTGTGTTTCTCTGAAAAGTGTCGGAGTTTGGTTTGTCGACACACCCTGTCAAACATGGCTTAGCATCTATAGATATTTGCAGTAGGAAATCAGATAAACTATGCAGTACTCCAGGTCCTTCTGATAGAATAAAAATTAAAAGACAGTCTATTCTATTTGGCATCGCTATCTGGCCTTTCAGTTTTAAAATCTATTCACATTAAGCCTTTTCCAAACAATATAAATATATTTCACACAACTCCAAGCTAGTCATGTTTACAATTTGTCCATGAAATATTTTTTCCCTTCTTTCTCATCTTTTTGTTTTAAACACCAAATGATGCTTTTCGATCTAGGCCGAAACTAATATTTTACATTAAAACCCACATTAAGTATTTAAGGACCACGTTACAAGCTACCCCATAAAAACTGGACTGATCAATCCCTCCAGGATGCTGCAACAACAACTGACGCCAATTCTGCCAATACCTTGCAACTTTTCCAATCACCACAACTTTGCTGCAACTTTGACGATTAAGAATGGGTAAAATCTCATTTCGTCGTAGAGCTGAGTGCAGAATATCGATTCGCTCAGCCCCTCCTTGCCCCCCGCTCTCTCTCATTCTCTTTCTTATCATGAGACTACTGCCGTGGGAGAGCTCTGTACCAGAGTCACACACACAGTGACAGGGCTAACTGTTAGCATCCTACAGCTAACATTACCCAACTGTAATTAACGGGTTTAACAACCGACTCAAGCCGCTTTGTTATCGGTGTGAGTTTGGGCTGTTAAACAGCTTGATGTTGGATGTTAGCCACTACTGCTGTGTTATTTTGCACTAACCGGGCAGAGAGAGCAGGAGGAGAGCCGCTCACAGAGGCAGCGCTGCTTTGAGTGACATCAACAGCTGATTGGTTACGATCAGCTGTCAGCCCCCACCTATATACCGCCTCTACCATCACAAATCCATTCTAGTTCTGAGGGAAACTAAGATGTTTATAATAAAAGGCTCCAAATCTGAGACACCATCACAACTACTTTTGCAGTTTTCCTTTGTCCCTGTATTTTCCTTGCATAAAAAGCACCACTAACATTGCAAAATGCATCGCAATTTTTAGAAGAGTTGCCATGAAATCAGGCATTTCAGGCTGCAACAATCCCAAAAACAATCCACGTGAAATCCTGGAGGGACTGACTGATACGAACAGCTTGTCAAGAACTAAGCTTCTTTCAGGGCAACAGACAAATTTTGCACAATGAAAGGGGCTTCTTTTAAGATTGTGAGCACCGGTTACATTGTAGAAATCAATCAGTGTCACATTCAAATAAGTAGTTAAAAATTACAACAAGTACAATACAAAGAAAACTTTACAATTAACAATATTCAGATTATCTAGGGAATGCAGATGTGTCTACTTACAAAGAAAGAGGTATATAAATCAACAAAAAGGCCTGCATCATGCAAAATGTAAAAAGTGAGAGCAGAGGCCCAAATGTGTAAATACCAAGGAATAGGTGTTAACATCAGCTGTCACATCGTCAAGGCTCCTTTTTACTCCCTTTACGTATGAAAATAGATATGTTCATTTCATGCGTTGTAACCTTCACTGCCGACATACTCCTGTGCGTCCATTTTGTTGGCACAGCTACATCCACTAGACAGCGCTAGAGGGCAAAGTCAAACGTTTCTGACAACAACCAACAAGGACAAACTGGAGGAGGTCGTAAAAGGTTTTAAAGGAGGCAGCCTTGTAGATGGCAGCAGTGTGTGAGGCCATTCTATACAGTGTGACATGTGGACAATCTATTCTTTTCATTATATCACAAATTTGTTCTCTGTCATGTCCTACAGACGTATCTCACTTGAACTACGCGACACTGCGCCCACTATCTCCAATGGTACTTCTCCGTTTCCTCTGTGACCATGAGGTTTCAGAAAACGTGCACAAACATAGACTACATGAACGCAGAGTACAACTGAAGGCTCCATGCTTGTCTGTAAACGTATTTAACGTTGAGCATGAATGAGCCATAACCTCGGTGAGAGTCAGCAGGTGGGTCAACCGTAACACCTTTCTAATATCAGCTTTCCCTTTGATGACATTTTATACAAACGGGCCAATTCATATATTCAAATACAAAAAAATAAATAAAAACACAAAATGCTCCCATGTTAAAACTAAATAAAAAAAATCTTTGAATGAGCAGCAGTGCATTCAGATATTCTGGCGCTGTATAAAGTAAGGCACCAGAGGTTTCCAAAATTCACTTGGTATACAGTATATACGTATAAAACAACAAAATTTTTCAAGTGTATTAAAGGCAGTCTATCAGAGTGCATACAACAGATACTGGAATCATGTGGAGTCGTCGGTTTTCAGGCTTGAGCGCTGCTCATCTTCTGCAGCAACGGGATCTGTTGAAAAATGACAGATTATTCAACCTGCCACTGAAACTCTACGGCTTTGAAACATACCCTCATGAATTTTACATAACCAAGCTGGAGTGCCTTCATGACCTACATTCTTTTCTATTCACTGTCCTTTTATAAGTTTTTCCAAAAGCCTCAACTGGCAGATTTCAACTCATTTTAGGCTACTACCAGCAAAGAAAAAGCTAAAGTTGATCATTATTTTTTTCTATAAAAGTTAGAGACCACAGCTTTAATATAAACAACTAATTTGTAAAATAAATGTTTTACAAAAAAGAACAAACGGAAATACATTAATTAAAAGTCCTCAATTAGCATCAAGCTACATCCCACATGGTAACAGCTAGCTATCAAAAACTAACAGGTGTTAAAAAATTACAGCTTAATAATACCACACATACATTCACATTGTTCACATACAAGTCTGTATTATAAAGCATGCATACCTTTGACAAATCCACTCCAGTGAGAGCGTTGACAGACACAGGAAGTTCAGCCAACAGGCGGTTCACCTCGCCCGTCACACGGCTGCTCTCTCCACTGAGGATGACTATCTCATTGGTCTTGGATAATGGCGCTGCCACCTTGGCAGCAATCTGCAAAAATACAGGTGAGTATTTACTGTAAGCTGGAAATAATATAAATCTCCCACACAAAGTGTTCATGTGACACAATATACAGTCATAGTCTCATGACCTGTGAATCATCAAGATGAGGCAATAGTGGTGATCCCACTGTAGGACTGAGAGCTGTTAACTTTCCTCCACGTTCTCCACAGTTTCATATCCAAATACCTAAAAATGTATTTCTGACCATCTTGAATGAATTTGGGTTTGAGAACAGAACACTGCTACTATTAAAAGTTTGCCCATGGAAATACAGCTGACTTGGGTGTGTAAAATACAGCATGCTAGTTTCGTAGAACAAATCAAAAAATGCTCCAGCTGTGTAAGCGCTCATGTTGTGGGACTATAAGGGAGATTTATTAGATTTAGACAGAGTCAGACCTGTCTTTTTGCTAAACTAAGCTAACCTTGTGGCAGTAGCTTTGTATTTACCAAACAGTGGTATCAATCTTCTCAACTCACTCTTAGCAAGAAAACTGGACACAAATATTTCCCAATATGACAAATTGTCCATTTTATACCAATTGTAGCACAGTGTTTTTGAAATTATGGACGGAATCAGAATGGTTGGTTGCAATAACCTCTGGGTAGAAAACTCCTCACATGCATAAAAATGAAACAGTGCTGAGCAAACACTGCCTCAGTTGGCTAGTTTTTAGCATCTAAAAAAATCTATATCAGTGTTAGTGTACACTATATTTAGAATATTTTCACAGCTTCACATCACCATCAGGCATGACTTTCTGATGGGTAACTGAAGCTGTTATCTCAAAGCCACCAGACTCCACTGACAAAAACAGTCATTTAAGACCACTAGAGTTGCTGATCTAGCTGACTTGATCAATGTGTGAGGTAAAGCAGTGAAATATTCCGAATATAGCGCACAATCAACCTGATATTTATATTTCATATGACTACCATAAACATTTTGCTGTGGCCCCTGTCCACGGCAGTATATTGCTCAGCTTCTGTGCTGGTAGATTTGAATTATCTATGATGTGTGCACAGCAACACACTACATAAGATAATCACACCAGTTACGTCAGACAGGATGGACCATCATGTTTAACTACACATCTTTAAATGTTACAGACATGACAAATAAACAAGTTTGCTGATTTCACATATCTCTGCAATTGAAATCAATTACCAGTTTTCTAATAAGAGGTGACTGCTGTTGTTAACGTGACATCACTGTGATTCAGTCTATATTGCTTACGGAAGACATTTTTTGATTCATGTACTGATTTCAACAAAGATTCCTCCTTCTGTGGGACTCATGCACTGATGCAGCACTGGCTCATGTTTGCTGTAAGAAGTATTATTCATACACAAACCAAACTCAAACATCAACAACTACAAGTTGTTTAGTAAAGCTGGATGTGCATTATGGAACTCTTAAGGACACTTGGAGAACCTATTTATGTTTTACCTTAGGCAGGGCCTCAAGGACCAGAGCAGTCTTAGCTGCCTCTCCGTACTGCTGGTAGGCCTCAGCCTTCAGTCTCATCTTCTCAGCCTCCGCTTTGCCCACTGCTTCGATGGAGCTAGCCTCCGCCTCTCCAATCTTCTTGATCTTCTCTGCCTGAGCCTGGGCTATCAGCACCGTCTTCATCCTGAGGCAGGGGAAACACAGGAGTTATAATAACTGACATCTGATTCATCCATCAACGCATCCATCAAAATTACATTACACACTATGTTGCTTAACTCTACCACTTCTAATCTCATCATACAACATTGTATCACAACTGTGTAATAAATTTTACTTTATGAAAATTGTGAATTTTATGACTCCATTACTTAACGGGGCAAAAAGCGAAATCGTTTCACCACTAGGTTTGCTGTTGTGCACTGCCTGTAGACCAAAACAAAGTGTGTCATGAGCCACTCCTCCCTCTACCTCTGCTCTCCGAACCTGAATAACAAACCAGGGCTCGGTGCTCCAGTTGGATCCAAACAGAGAGCCGGGGCTAGTTGGGAAGCTAGCGGAGGTTAACCGGCTGTGCTGCAGCTAACGCCTCGCTAGCCGCTCCCAGCTAGCTCCGGATTGTTATTGAGGTTAAAGTGGGAGAGGCAGTGGATCTGTGGGGCAGCTGAGTGAAGTGGAGTCTGAGGAGGAAGCACCGGTTAGCCCCGGTTTCGTTCCGCTCTCTGCCATTTCATTTCGAAAATATGCGCTGCCATTGCTCACTGGCTGTAGCCTTTTATAGGGAGGGAGGAATTCTGAAATTTGGCTGAAAGTGCAACTAAATAATGTAAGTGTTTAGCAAAATTTCAGCTGCATAACCATAGCAGAAGAAATGTGGCACGGTGAGTAGTACTCTGTTGTTGGTAAGGATACAAGGCTGGAAGGACTGGTTTCAAGCCTATGTGAAAGATCATCATCTGTCCTGCTAGTATGTCCTTAAGCAAGACAATGAAACTCTACCAGGAGGACACTGATGGTGGTGCTCTGTAGCTCCTGACCTGTGACATCCCTGTACAGCAGGAAATAATCACAAAAATAGGAGGTAAAAAAAAAAAAGTGCTGCCCTGAAGCCTAAAATTTTAAAAGCTCAGAAACACCACTGCCAAAACTCACTCCCCGTCTCAGACAAGGGGATATTTGACTACAGATGTGAATGTCTTGTCTTATATTGTGATGCTAATGGAGAGATACATCTCACTGTCACTGTTAAGACCTGTCTCTCTCTCTCTCCCTCTGCACAGATTTTACACCTGCTTTTCTCAGGTGTTAATTTCAGACATAATTTCCTCTGCTGCAGTAGTCAGTCAGCAATGGCACATCAGATTCAGTGGCTATTTTCAGCCATTCAACACAAACACCTTATAAACCTTTCTGCTTAAACCAAAGCACGCCATTTTTAGTGATGCTACTTCCTCCCCTATTTGCCAGTGCACACCCTGACTGTTTAGAACCTAACAAAAGAAAACAAATCCTTCGTAAATATCTTCCCGTACCTTTTGCAACTGAAACTCCCACTCAGCAGGTATTTAAACAACCTCACTGTCCTTCTCCTCCTACTCACATTTTTATTGCTAATAAATGGAGACCGTTGCTACGGGCAAATTAAATTTTCACAAGACATGCCGGCTACAAAGGTTACAAGCTTGCTGTTATTCCAAAAACAAAAAACAAAAAAAGAAGCAAACTACAAAGCTGCAATATTGCTACTGGACCGTGTGGTGGAAATTGCCTGCAAATACTCAGCACTCAGGAAAGAAAAACAAAGCATGCGATGGGCTTCTTTTAAAAAATGTTTCGCAATCTGACATGATCAATCTGTTTCAGATCTTGGCTCTACTCAGCCTGTTAGGTCATGTCTTTTATCAAAATTAGCAATGAGACAAAAACTTTTTTGGACATTGCAGAGAAAAGTTGCAGTGGTCTAAACTGGCCAGCCTCAACTCATCTCAAACTGGCTGATGGTGTCACCTGTGACTCAGTATGTCAAGTCATCATCGGCTGGTTTTAGAACATAAAAAGCATGTCACCTGTTCAAACAGTCAATCAGCAGTCATTCTCATTTATATCCTCGAGGCTGTTGACATGTATGTCAGTCTCTGTCGTCACGGTGTTTTATTGTTGGACAGTGGGTTGCTGCTGCTTCTTGCCAATTAATCCGTGCTGTTTATTTTAATTATTTTGATGTATTTATTTTGAATACAGCTGGAAGTTAGAAAGGAAGTGCAAAGAGTCGTTGGTATGGAGAAGATACACCATCTCGCCGAGTCGCACTGGTGTAAACTGGCAGTTTTTCAGAATGTTGCAGACCAGCACATCGCAAGTAGTTGCAAGTTTCAACACGTCTCGCCATAAATCTTTGGTGTGAATTGGGCTTTAGGTCAACTAGAGGCCATTGTAGTGAGACAACAAGAGAAGTGAGGACTGTGCCTAACACTTGTCAGTTCTCTCAGTGATCTTGAACTTTCTACTAATTGGTGATACTGATTGAAATAACTCATAAAATGCTTCTTTAAACAAAGGGTTCTCACTCACTTCTGCCCCTCAGCCAGCTGCTGCATTTTGAAGGCCTCTGCCTCAGCGGGCCTCTTGATTGTGGCAATGAGCTCCTTGTCTGTCCGGTCAATCTCCCTGTCCTCGATAACGATCTGTTTCTTCCTCTGCACCACTTGGATCTCAATCTCCTCCAGGCGGATCTTTTGCTGCTCCTTTGCTGCCTGCAGCTCGTACGCCAGCTGGGCCTCTGCTTTCTGAAAACATCAGCACATACACGGTCACACATACACACCTGAGGTTACACACATTATGATTGAAACCTACTTTCAACACAGTTTCAAACCTCAGGTGCCCACCTTGGTGTTGACCTCCTGGTTAAAAGCAGCTTTCTGCAGCTCCAGTTCTCGTTTGGAGTTGGCCATCTTGGTGTCAGCCAGGAATTTCACGTCCATCATCTCCTTCTTACATTCCGCTTCCTATGAGACAATAAAAAAGTATAGCAGTGTTCGGTTGGTTGTTGTGCACAACAAAACCCACTTCCCAGAGTCTCCCATCTACTAGAGCCTCCTTACCCGTATCCCAGCATCTCTCTCTGCCTCAGCAACACCAATGTCTGCATCCCTCTGGACAGCTGCAGTCTGGGTCTTCCCAAGGGAGCTCAGGTAATCCAGTTTATCATACACATCCTGCAAGCACAGACAAACAGGTTACACCTATAAGCTTCCAGTAAACACTGAACCACAGTAAAGTGAAGTGCGACTGACACTAAATTTTAAAATTAAATAAAAAAAATAAAATAAAATAAAATGATTTTAGCTATCATAATGTAAGGCTGTGACAGATGAGACACAATATATTTGTTCCATTTGTCAAAACCCAATCTGTGAGATAAATCTTTTCCACATAATGTAATTTCTGAATTAAACCATGAAGTCAAAATATAATAATTTCTCATGAAAAAGCCGGACAGATCAGAAGTGAAGAAAATGTTTCAGGGGTCTGAGGAGTAAGCATTTTATTTGATTTGTAGTAAGTATGTGTTCTAAATATCCCATTTCTCTCACCACTGATTGGACAAAATCTGTCTGGTGCAGTTTATCTGTGCATGGTAACAGCTTATTGATTTCCACACCTGCACTGAAGAGTTTCCAGCACAAGCAAATGCCTCATTAACTGTAACTCATGACAGCAGCAATTGATTCGTAAAAAGGTCTCAACTAAATTCAACAATAACATAAAAGGATCATCAGGACTCCAACTCCTTTTACAAATAATATCTACACCAAGAGACAATCTACCACAATTATTTAGATGTTTTTTTTAATCGAGAAATGAGATGAAATAATGATACATATAAAGATAAAACCACAAATGTCTGAGGCCTCCACTAGTGAGCTAACTGGCACTGACGCATCACAGAAACCATCTTGGCCCGGACTAATTGATGTGGAAAAAAATGGACTCTGGGCTTTCAGCGAAGCACTACGGTCAGCCACTGTCTCTGCACCACACTTCATTTAGTTTGAATCAACAACAATAAACTCTACAGGAGGAGGGCGTATCTACCAGTCAATCTTTAGAGCCATTAAAACTTGTGGAGATGACTTCTCTAATGAGCACAGAACAACATATTTGATTTATTAAAAACAAGATGCTTGTTTCTACAGTTCTGCTTAGCCTATAAACATACACTGTATGTTACCATGTTGGGTTCTTTTTTTTTTTTAACCACAGACAGCCCTGTAATCGCTATCAACAAACCCACCAGACCCCATTTCAATAAACAGTAATTTTCATATAATTGTTTTAGATTTAGACTTTTAGATGTTATGCATACATTTATGTTTTCATCGCTGATCCAACAAAAGAATGTGTGCAAGTTGTCCTCTTTGTCTGTCATCTAAATGCTCCTGTCTCTCTCACTTAATGTTACGACCCATAAACAAGCCCTACTTTAGGAGGTCGACTAGCTAAATGTCAGCACAGAAAGCTTTGGCCAGCTAGCTCAAGACAGACACAGGGTGCTTTCCATTTTGCTAACTGGGCTTTCTTTCTTCCCAACTCTTTCGTTCTCCAGCTGACCCAGAAATCGGTCGAGGTCCACCCTCGCTGCATGTTGTGTACTGGTTTGTTCTTGGATGGAGGCTGCAGATCTTTATCAGCATGTGCTGTTTTTTCTTTGTATTGGAGAAAATTTAATTTAATTTGGCTGTTAGTTTTGAAGGATCTTGATCTGATATACGGCAGAGGTTTCTATGAGCGGAGTATCCATTCTGAGGGTCAACATTGCAGCCGATCACGTTCACGTAACTGTGGGACACCAAAGTCATGATTGTGATTAAAATTCGATTTATTACACAGCCCTAGTGTCCACCCACCTTGATAGTAAAGCTGAGAATCTCGATGCCCATCCTTCCCACGTCTGGAGCTGCTACCTCCCGCACCAATTTAGCAAACTGGTCCCTGTCCTGATAGATCTGCTCTACGGTCAGGGTACCTGCAAAAGAGAGACATTGTCAGTATCTCCTTACCACGTGTCCTTGTGTGCCACTTTTTACAAACCAGCAGCAGTCTTACGCATTTTTATTTTTGATCAAAATGTATTTGGCTTATGTAAAAACAAGGATGGCAGAGTTTTCTTAACACTTTAGATAAGCTTTAAATCCTATCACTAAAGAAACACAAACTTCAAAGAGTCATTAGGTTTTTAACTTATTGTTTACGTGTTTCAAACGACAGAGATTTCAGCCTCTTCATTGTGAAAATTTGTTTCCCCTCTCTGTTTTATAGAATTGTATGTTCAATATCTTTTGGTTTTGGACTGTTGGGCAAACAAAATCAGAAATCTGAGGATGTCACCTTGGACATTTTCTATTATCTGTAACAAAGAATCCACAAAATAATTGGCACATTGATTGAAAATCAAATAAATCGTTTGTTGCAACCCAAAACCACTATTAAGTATTTACAGAGGCATATGAGGAAATAAATGTAGGTGTCCTTATTTTAACAAATGCAATTATTCAAATAAAATGAATGTCCATACCAAGAATTGAGCGGAGATGTCCCTCCAGAGTCTGCAGAACCACAGCTTTGATTTCCATGACTGATTTACCCAGGAACTGCTCACAAGCCACCCCCAGTAAGTCCTGATCTGTCATGACTTTGACCTGAGAAGACACAGTGAGGTGAGCTCATCTGGTAAAAGACCAAACTCTCAACATCTAGCGCCAAAGTATGTGATGGGCGAGCTATATTCTCTAGAACTGTGTTAAATATTTAAGCAAAAACTGTAAAAGGGACAGTTTTGTGAAATGCGCTTGCAAATCTGGCACTCGTTTGCACATAGTGGCTGATCTATGCTCTTGCTGCTTAGTTGTTTACATGCAGGTGCCGTGTTTTCAGTCTCAGTTGCTGAATTGAATCACGAGGGCTTATATTGTGTGAGTGGCAGTTAATTTCTGCACATGTGAAATAATACAATGTGCACGAGCATGTTCTATCACGTTTACGAAACATGACATAAAACTGACGGCATAAGGGTGTTATTTGAATTATTTTAGTTGTAAGGCTGATACTTTCCCTGATTTTTGGTACTAATAGCAAATGTATTTATTTATTTCTAACTTAATAAATACCAACCCCTCAATTAACAAAACCACAAGAGAAGCCAAACTTCTTAAATGTTCACTGTCGTCTCAACACAATCAACTGCACCACTATGCCTGAATAAATGAGTCAAAAAAATATCAAACAACTCTGAATAAAGAACTAAAGAATAAAGAATCTCACCAGACATCACATTCCAGCTATCTGCACTTAAAAAATGTTAATATTCTACGCTAAAGACACATTTCAGTAAGTATAAAAATATTATCGTTCAATATGCGGGCCTAGTGATAACAGATGAAGACAGATGAGGCCTGGTCCATGTAGGAATAGAGAGGACACTGGGATGTGGTCTTACCTGAGCCACCCCTGTGACAGTGATGGCTACCCCCTCTGCTGTCTCTACATCCTCACATCGGGGCTGCAGAGTCATGATCTCCAGAGTTATCCTAGAGCAAGGAACAAAGGCACATTTTTTTGGCCATAAATAGAAGAATATCAAGTGGAAAGAGATGTACGTTCAGACACCAACTCCATCAAAAGTCTCTACAGCTGTTAAAGCCAAGTGATAGTTGATCCAGCAGTGATCAGCTGCAGTTGTCATCAGAAACAGTCATTGTTTCATGTGATGCTTCAAAGGGAAAAAATCTCATTACTCTACAGAAATATTTCCTTGTTTCCTCTCTCCTCACAAGGTTTCCTTGCATTTTATCAAGCATCTCCAGTGGGAGGGACTAAGATTCAAGGAAAAGAGAGAGATGAGGGAAATGTGGATGCAAAATAAGGTAATGGGATGAACCCAACATCCATCCACAGCTGTGCTTCATTACTCTGCCATTCTGCTGGCAATTTAACACGACTATATGAATCCAAGTACTGAACATCACAACAGAGCAATACTCAGGAAATGAGCTGATGGACTATCGCTACTGTGACATGTGACAGTGCTGTGGAATATAAAACTGCTGTAATAAAATGTTTGATATTCTAGTAGAGCTCAACCAGCCAACAACAAATGCTGCAAAAAATTAACCTGCACCTGTCTTGAGACACTGCATATTTAAGAGGGCAGGGCATATTTAAGCACACAAGAGCACACAATTCCTCTTAGAAAAGTGTAAATGTGTAAGCTGGAAAAGAGAGAGACCTTTGAACCTGTGTACATTAGAAACAACAACACTGTGTGTAATAGTAGACAGAATATGGAAGACCAGCATCATCCACCAGACCACCACTTGCTTACAGACTGCCTGCAGATAATGGGACTGACTTCCCTGTGGAAATCCAAGACAGCAGAAGCCCATTTCAGTGTGGTCTTTTTAAAAACATCTGATATTTCATCCAAATAACTTTGAACAGAGGGCTTTTATTAGTATAATCCAATTATATGCAAGGAGCAGCACTTGCTTTCACAAAAGCATTTCAAGAAGATACTAAAAGGCCAACTCAAATTCAAGACAACATAAGAAATAGTAACTTATGTTTTAACAATGTTGTCACCTTTGGGTGTCTGAGATGAGCCACCAAGCCCAGGCCCAGCCTCCCACAGCATAGGTCTTTTGATCAGAGCCACAGCAACCACCTGAGGGAAGAGAATCAGTTACATAAAATCATCACTTTATGTTCAATAATCTACTCGCTAAAACCTTAACAGCCAAATAACATTTTAATTATCTAAGTGCAAGAAAGGCAAATGCAAACACAGAAATGCAGACTGCATTTAGTAAAAGTTGAAAGCTGAGCAATGTTCTGTTTTGTCAAATATTTATTTATCTTCAGGGTGTAAACGCAGCAGGCAAACTACATACTATACACACTATATACTACTATGCTATACAGCAGTGGTTCCAAGCCTGAGGGTTCGTACCCTTCCAGCAGGTCACATAGTACACAGGAGGTGCTGTGGGATTAAAACAGATGTCCTTCTAGGCTTCACTCTTGTAGTTTTACATTTTCAGGTCTTTAAAAATGTTTTAAATAAAACAGGATTACAAAATCACTCCTTAGTCGGTAACCCAAAGACACACACAACTAGCAGTGTTAAAAGAGGTACTGAGATTCTTTGCTTAGGTTAGTAAACATATGGCTGCGTAAAAAAATACTCAATTATGAGTAGAAGTCCTGAATTCAGAGAGTTGCTTCAGTAAAAGTACAGATGTATTATCAGCAACTTGTACTTAAAAAGTATCAAAACTACTCATGTTCAGAATGGCTCCTTCCAAAGTGGTGTCTTATTGTTGATTATTATGTTATTCAGTTTTTATCCCCAGTGAATACATCAGATAATGACATTGTTTAGTGTTAAAAGTAAAAGTAATGTATCTCAATAAAAAGTGCGATATTTTCTTCTGAAATGTAGTGAGGCAGAATTATTAAGTAGTGCGAAATGTTAATACTCAAAGTACAAGTATGTCAAAATTTTACTTTACAACAGTACTTGAGTAACTGTACTTAGTTACTTTTACCACTTGCAACTGGCAAAGATGGGTCACAAGTAGGCATTGTTATGATTTAGGGGTCACAGGCCAAAACTATTGGGAACCATTGCTGTACACCATATAGCAGCTTTGAGATATTTCGTGTGCCAACACCACAGAGATGCCAAACACCCATGTGCATTAAATAGGCTATTTAGTAATATTTGAACTGTGTGCTGTACCTTGTTGGACACACCTGCATTTCTACAGTAGTCTAGAGATTCTAGACTGCATGTTACCACTCAGTGGTTCATTTTCAAACAATTAGGAAATAAGAAAACTAAGTTTAACCTCTGTAAATATTTGCCAGAACACATCACAGCTGAGGAAATCGTGGGAAAAAAACGTCAAAAAGCTTTTTACAGGTTTTGTTACTTTAAATACATTGGCACACAGATTGATCACTTCATTTAGCATTAACGTTATTTCCTGAGCTCTCCAATGATTAACTTAACACAGCTGACTTGACGTTAACCTACATTACAGCATAAGCTGAGGGAGGATGAGCAAACCCGCCCCCCTTTACATCACCGTGGGCCAAATTGAACTGACAGACTGCATCCGCAGATAACGTTTGTAGTTTTTATAATAACTATTTACACATGCGTTCATGGTTGTATATTTAATTATAATTGTCGATTTAACCGTAACGTTAGCTTATTATAACGTGCTATTGATAATAACGCCAACTTGCCGTGACTTCATTGCTTGCTAACGATGTTAGCATTACGGTTCTACGTTAAGCAAGCCGTGATTGATGATACTGACACTAATTTAATAGCTTTACACAGAGAATACATAGGCTACCTACCCCATTTTTGGCATTAGCAGACAAGCTATATTACTACAAACAAGAGTAAGATGAACGTTTGCCAGCTAGCCCCCAACATCAGTTAGCCAGTTAGCTCTTAAATGACAGCTAGCTTAGCGTCACTAGCTCGGGGAAAATGGAACACCCACCGGAGACCACCAGAGCTTCGTTCGGCCCCACAGTTAAGCAGTTCCCCATGTTGACTCGAAGAGGCAAATTCAATAAGCAAGCAAACAGCGGGGTCCCTCACGGAGTTAAAGATATATATATGTTATCCGTTGTTCAATTTCAGGTGTGAACGGTGCGAAAGACTCTCACGTCCCTCACGACGACAGCAACAACACAGCCCCGCCCGGGCGGGGAGGGGCTGTGTTGTTGCTGTCGTAATGCGCACAGCAACTGAATACTGAGTAGCGTTCAGCTGCTCTGTGATATGTTGTGTGCCAGTACAACAGAGATGGCAAACATCCATATGCATTAACTGGGCTAATTATTGATATTCTAACTGTGTGCTCTACCTTGCTTGACTCAGCTGCATTTTAACAGCAGTGCGGACATCCTAGACTGCATGGTAACATTCAGTGATGTTTCCTTTTCAACAATACAGAAAGATCATATTTCATATAATAATATTTTATGATTTCATATGACAAATAAATTGATAAATTGATCGAATTATTCACAGTTGATACACGTTTGGGAGAAAGCTGCAAAAGGCGCCACCGTTGCCAAGCAACAGTTGCTAGGCAGTAGTAGCAGCTAGGGTGGGAGGGTCTAATGGAAGCGTTGTTCTGTTCTGTTCGAGACGTTCTGTGACGTCACATAAGAAAACGTCTGTGATCTTTAGTCTAAATACTGTTTGAAGGCTTACAGTGTAACAGGCTGTAGATGTATGAGCTAGCTAACTGATAACTTCAACCTAGATTATTTAGTTTTACATTGACAAACCAGATAAGTCAGTGAAAACTGAGCCAAACAAAACTAAAAAAAAGCATTGAGGATAATCATCCATAACAACATAATAACATTTGCCACGAATAGGCCTATACCAGGACCTGTACAGACAGATGCCGAAGCTTAGAGGATGTAGCCTACTGTTCGCCTACTGATGGAGTCCTTTTTTTAAAAAGATGATATGGTGGTTGGTCATGCCCGCAAAATGTTCGATGCATTCAGAGCCAAGATGAAAATCTGGTGCTCACCTGGACTAAGGAGACAGAACAAGTCAGACCACCTCCCTGGAAGAACTTACTTGTGGTGAAGGCTCAGATCCTGGTCCTGCTACCGGCAATGATGCAAAAAAACTTTTTAACATGCAAGGTGCATATTGAAGCTGCCTTAGAAGAGGCTGCATTTTGTGAACTTAATGTAGATATGTGCTCGGATTTCTCCATCATACCACCCTACGTGTCAAAGTTATTCTGGAAAACTAAGTAGAGGTGACGATCCCTGTGCTTGGACTTTTAGAAGTGACTGCTTCATTCAAGTCCAGGTCTGTTCCTGCTTCCCTCATAATGGTTAGTGAAGGCCCCGCTCTGCTTGGAAGATAGGCTACTTGTTTAAAGCTTTCGAATGGAAAATCGGTACTGATACCATCCTGCGACCAAAAATCTGCAGACATATAAAATCTGACACCTTAAAATTAACATGCAAAGTGTGTGTTAAAAGTACGTCAGGAGAAGCTGCAGACGTCTCATTACTGGTGGACACAGGGGGAGAATTCTCTGTTATAGGCTACCAGAGTCTTTGTTTAAGAAACATTTCTCTAAATGTCTCCTTTCTGACTCTGAGCTTGATCTGCAATTCTACTCAAATGTGACCGTTCCAGTGCTTGGACTTTTACAAGCAATGGTCTCATTTGAGTCCAGGTCTGTTCTTGCGTCCTGTGGTTAAAAAAAAAAAAAAAAAGAGAAAATAAAGCCCCACACTGCTGGCGGTGGACTTGTTCTCAGCTTTAAAATGGACAGTCATTGCTGACTCCAACCAGCGACCAAAAAAGCATTGCATCTTCTGCAGGTTCTTCAAAATCTGCAGCTGTAGAAGAAGAGTTGGTGTTATGTAATGAAATGAGGTGTACTGGTTTACTCAGAGAGCTCTGGTTTTCCACATCGAGTGATTATAAACATCTAATAAGTGAATCAATAAACGTAAATAAATACATTTCTGCTTGTCTCTCATCATTTACTGTAAGAGCTGTAAATATTTAATTCTGACTGCTGATTCAGTGTAACGACCTCAGACATGAAACTGGTGGACTCAAATGCACGACTCGCAGTAGGTTTAACAAAAGTATTTTACTTGGCAAAATCAATTTAAACAAAAGGCGCTCTCAAGGAGGATATACAAAGTTCAAAACAAAACACTCACAATGAGGATCAAAAAAATATCACAACTTAGAATCAAACCTGATAACATGAAAACCTGACATCACACAGACTGAACAAGACAAACTGGCAACAAGACAAAGAGAGGCAAGGACTATTTATACATGAGGTAGGGGAACACAGGTGAAACCAATCAGGGGCGGGGTAGACAATCACAATGGCGGGAAAATCACACAAAGGGAGGAAGTCAGGGTCTGAAACGAGAGGGAAAAGGTGAGTACAAAATAAAACAGGAAGTGCACGACGAGACTGGACATGAGTGACTTTAACTTAACATAAAGTGCTCATGACAAGTGCTCATGACAACAAAGGACTAAACATGAAACTAAACTAAGGCATGACATAAAATATGAAACACTAAACATGAACATGAATAAAATTAACATACTTGACGAGACACAACATTCAGTTTGATTCATGCATTTCACATTTGTATTAGGTACAAAGAAAAAATTGTGTTCTTTTACAAGTATTTTTTTTTTCATATGAAAACCTCAGTATTGGAGTCTGTAAAGAGAGCATACTGAAGTTTTACTATCAGTTCAGTTTTAAATAGTACATTTGTTTGTGAAAATGCATGTGTTTGTGCAGTACTGAGCATATAACTGGATACATCAGACTTGGATTATATTACTAAATGAGTTGTGTGAGAGTTTGTAAATAGGTGTTTGATATAGTTTTGCTATTGTCAATAGGCCCCAGTCAATCAATAAATCAACATGTGGAGGACAGTGAGAAAATGAAAGTTTTCCTTACGAATTTAAGGTTACACAGCATAACTAATTGTTTACAAATGTTTATTTTGTGGGTGAGGTTTTCTTCTGAGAGTGGCCATGGGTCATCCCTGCCATTAAGTAAAAGTACTTTACATCAAAATATATTTAAGTACCAAAAGTAAAAGTACTCATTACGCAGACTGGCCCGTGTCATCATTATAATTACTGATGTATTAATGTGTTCATCAGTTTAATATTGCAGCTGGTAAAGGTGGAGGTCATTGTGATTACTTTGTTTACTACACTCTTAGAAGAAATTGTTCTATATAGAAGCTTTAAGGGGTCTATAGCTTGATAAAAATTTGGCACCCTAAAAAGGTTCTAGCCACCTTATTCCTGAGGGCACTACTGTAGAAATGATTACTTCCAGTGAGATAGTGGAAGTAGCAGTAAGCTAGTTGGTCCCATAGACTATCTGTGGTTAGTCCAGTGGCTACTCTTGGTGGCTAACTGCCAACGCTGGTTCTTTCTCGAAAGTAATTTGCCTTCACTTTAGCAAATACTGATTTAACTAATGTTAACTTAGCATTTTCTAAAATGTCTTTGCAGAACTCTGGTACCTGTTGCACTGTCCGTGTCTGTAACAACTACCAACCAGTCTAAGCTAAATTTTTGTCATCGGCGACTGTGTGTTGAACATGTAACCAGAACAAAAAGGGATTGTCCCTGTTGCCAAAGGTACCATTGATATGAGAAATAAAACCACAAGAGTTTTACGAGACATAGCGAAAAAGTATTAAATCAGAATTTGCAGAGGAGACTGACACCTCGACTGACAGGTCCGTCACTCAACGTCAGTACATAATATCCCTGTCTTTCCCCGTCTGAATTCATTCTCAACTTACATTAGGAAATTGCTTGTTATAACGTAAATTCAGCAACATACCTTGAAATATGTGTTTAGTCATTAGGGCTGAGAATGTGTTTCTGACGTACCGTACTTCCTTTATATCATATCAAATATGAATGCCAAAAGTTATTTCTTTTACTACCACTTTATATTACTATTACTGAAGTCTACTGCTAAATACAGCATCATGTTTCGCTCAGAACATCCATCCATCCATTTTCATCCACTTATCCAGGGCCAGGTCTCGGGGGCAGCAGGCTGAGCAAAGCACCCCAGACATCCCTCTCCCCAGCAACACTTTCCAGCTCCTCCTGGGGGACCCCAAGGCGTTCCCAGGCCAGACAAGATATGTAATCCCTCCAGCATGTTCTGGGTCTGCCCCAGGGCCTCCTACCAGTGGGACGTGCCCGGGACACCTCCAGCTGGAGGCACCCAGGAGGCATCCTGATCAGATGCCCAAGCCACCTCAACTGACCCATTTTGACGCGAAGGAACAGTGGCTCTACTCCGAGCTCCCTCCGGATGTCTGAGCTCCTCACCCTATCTCTGAGGCTGAGCCCAGACACCCCACGGAGGAAACTCATTTCCACCGCTTGTATCCGCGATCTCATTCTTTCGGTCACTACCCAGAGTTCATGACCACAGGTGAGGGTTGGGTAGATGGACCAGTAAATTCAGAACAGTTTTTAATAAATCAGAAGTTAAAAAGAACGTGTAAACTGTGTCATTAACGCAGACAAGCGGAGGATTAGCTGGGAAACATCACATTTATTCACTTCACATGGAGCTACAGTTGATACTGAATTATGTCAAATGTTTGCCACATGTGTTAGTACCTCTCAATAAGTCATTAGAAATCATAAATCAACTGGGGCGTCGGTGGCTTAGTGATAGAGCAGACGCCCCATGCACAAGGCTGTTGCCGCAGCGGCCCAGGATCGACTCCAGCCTGAGGCCCTTTGCTGCATGTCTCGCCGGTCTCTCAGCGCCGGAAGTTGCACCCATAATTTATGCAAGGTATCATAGGGGCTAGGAATATGGTGGCTATAGAACCATTTCAGAGGATTAATTTAAAAGTACCCCGGGGTTCTTTGTTGCTAAACAAAATGGTTCTATATAGAACCTTTTAAAGGTTCAATTAATATCCCAAAGGCTTTGTCCCCCAGGTTTTGTTGGTTTTGGCAGTAAGTCTTTTTTCACTACTAACCTATTGTAGATTGATGAAAAAGAAAAGAAGGGTGTTTCAAATTGACTGTATTGGTCATCAAAAAGTAGTTACACCATATCTAAACACCACTATACACAATATAAATCATATTCTACATTAGACAATATAAATCAAATATTACAGTAAACAAAACACTCCATGCACACACAACAATCAAAATATATCAGCATTACCTGTAAAATAAAAATACAATTGATTTTAAATATAAAATATCTCTGGACCATCCCCACCATTTCAAATTAGCAAAAAGTATGAACGAATAGAGTGACAGATTCAAATGAATCAGCAGAAACAAAAGAACAATAGGTTTAAGATTTTTAATCTTGGCAAACGCTTTCTAGAAAATTACTATTTAGATCAGTTATATAGTCACTGTGAAGGCTGATTGTAGATTTTTCTTACTACTCATACTCTTTTCTCACCATTACCTGGTTTGAAAAAAATAAAATAATGTTCTATAAATGACAGCATGTTTCATCTGTTTGGGGTACTGTCTCTTGCATTGGAAGGAGTGGATTCCCACTGTCATCGGAGATGATGGTTGGGAATGTGCTTGATGGTTCTTATGGAAAAGAAACATGTAAGGAACCTCCTGATAGAGTTTAAACTATACATGTAGGTCACTGACAAAACAAAATTGTCAGTGACAATGTGAAGATTCGACACATGGTGGAGGTCATTGTGATTACATACTGTATGTAGCTATAATGATAAATCACAATTCATGAGTTGATTTACATTTTGTAATAATAATCTGAATCCGAAAAGTAACTAACCAGAAGAAAAAATACAGCCAGTGGGTAAAAGAGCTGTCAGGCAGCTGACTCTCTGACTCTCTGTGTTGGTAACAATGAACATATGCAACAGATGAATTTCTGGACTTCCCTCAGGACATCTTGGAGGACTCCTGAACAACAGAATTTTAGACATGATGTGTACCACTGTTTAGTTTGTTTTAATGTGTATCTTTCCTTTCCTTTTTTTATTCTTTTCTTATATGTCTTGTTTCTTTCTTGTTTCTCCTTCGTATTTCATATTTTTAAATACATATGACATATTGACAGGTTTTCGTGCTGTAGTTCACATTTTAGTGCTGCGTCCAACATCTACATCATCGCCTTGTTTGAGGCTTTGTGATGGCAATGAAGGTCTCTTCTTCCTTCTCCTCCTCCTCCTCTTCCTCCTATCCTCTCCTTCCCACACCTTCTCCTTCTCTCCATCCCCCTGCTGATCCTCTTCATTATTGTCCCCCTCAGTGGTGATTGTCACGGCCACCTCCTGCTTGGTGATGTCATTCTGAGCAGCCACGGGGTTTTCGTAGTAACATTCCTCGCAGATGGAGGAGGAGGTGTTGGGCTCTGTGCGGTCAGTGGGTGTTGGCACGGCATTGAAGGTGATGAAGCCAATGAGGATGACCACCAGTGAGACCAGGTAGAGCCCAGAGAACTGAGGCAGGGCAGAGTAAGGAGATGATATTTTAATTCAATTATATGAACAGACGTGTTGCTGAAGCAGTATACAGGAGCATTCTTCAAGTTTTGTGGCATCCACAGGGGAGGATTTTAGCACATGTATGTACCTGCAGGACAACGTTTGGAGCCAGTCATGGACTAGTGTAACACAAATGTGATGTGGAAACTTAAAACCTCCTGCATATATACATGGATGACAATGACTTTTCAGTAAATTGAGGACAGCTTATGTACATTTGTTTTGAATTCTGGATTTTTTGATGAGGAAGAAGGAGATGTTATTTTAAGAATTTTCTAACCCAGTAAATAAACTCTTTTTTTGTGAAAAAAAAAAAAACATAACAGAGGCAAATTATTATTCAGTGCAAGTATCTCACTTGAGTATAACTATTGAGTTATGTTTCACTGACTGGTTCAGTGGACATTTAGTGTCAAGGAAGCAAAAAAGGTACATTTTTGCATAAGTGACACTATCAGGTGAAATATTGTGTTTGCAGTTAAAGTTGTATAAAGGACTATGGACTCACAAGTTTATAAAATGCTGTGTGGAAACACATGCCCTTGAGATTACACTTTAACCCTTATTATCATTCATTAACACTGCTGTGTCGCCAACCCGATCTCACTACCAACTCGTCAAATACCAATGCTTGGTCAGTGTCTCTCGGTGTCTGATGCCAGGGCACAATGCAACCTTTAGCAGCAGTATGAGATGCACCAAGTGGCGGCATTTTTTGATGCTCCGAGCAATAGGGGTGGGTGAAATGGCCCTAAAATAACATCCCGATATTTCAGAGTATTTTTGCAATAGCGATATTCTTGAGGACATGACAAATTTGTAAGAAAATATTTTATTATTAATTCAAGAACATAGAATTGCAAAAAATAAGTGATACAGTTTTACATGTTTGCCTTCAAATATTTAGTAAAAACTTAACAAAAATTATCTATTATTTCTTTAGTTTTTCTAAACAATAACAGTAACTCAGAGTGAGATTCAGATTCTGTCAACAAAATAAAATCTATCACAAATTACACATTACACAACAGCTCCCAAATACAAAAAATGTACCCTGGGATCTATATATTTAAAGAAACAGGTGATTTCCTTCCCTTTTAGCAAAATCCTAAATGATTGAGTTGGCGTTTTTTTCCACCTGAACCTTTATGCTCTGCCATTTCTCTTCTAACATCACGCTGTAACCTGTGACAGGCTGTTTTGCTTCAGTAACTATGGCACATTCACATACATGTAGTGTTTGTTGAGCCGTGAACGTCACGTAGGTTTACATTACCAAAGGTTGATGAAAAAATCACTTGACGACACTGACTCCCTTGTGCGCACAGCAAGAGAGGAGGGGTAGAATTGCTGTGCTGCTGCCAGAGGAGCTGCTGAATGAGTTCCCTCTGAGCAGTATAACGCTAAAAGAGTCTGAGAGGTCCAGGGCTGTTCGTTAAACGTTCAGGACACCCAGGCCTAACAATACCACAGTTTATTGCACACTACCAAAGCTGCTTCTCTTTTTGGAACCACCGCGGAGTCTGTAATAATTTCGCTTTCAGCCATGCTTGTTGTTGCCATGCTAACAGCATGACAATATGTCAACAAGTCAAAATATTGCGAGTTTCACAATATACATTTTTTATATTCATATTAAAAATTCTACCAGCAATATCATGAACGATATGATATGGTAGGAGCAGAGAGGGATGGGTGTAACAAATTCTGGACTTTCATCAGGGAGACAGGTGTTCCGTGTGGGCCTACCATGTGAAACTAAAAGTAAATCACAGTGTGCTAGTATGTTTAGCATATTACGATGTATGCAACATACTGTATGTGACATGACATTAAATTATGTTAGTACCAAATGTACTTATTTTAAGCCATACCACGTGTATACCATGTTTACCATACAACGATTTTTTTTACCTACATTCTACGTTTAGAGACTGACATGCATTTCACAAGCAAAAACTGTTGTCTACATTTTCTTTGAAAATAGAAGTTTATTTTGAAAAGACAAAACGCATGTAACTACATAAAAATTGAAAACACCATCCCTGACATGTCCAAAACTGAAGCAGGAGGAATACCTGGAGCAGCGTAATTTGACATTTAGGGCAGTTGACCAAGCATCTGTATTTGACACTTTGAGAGTGAGAATGTGTTGGTTTTACTATTTAGCAGCTTTCTCACTGGGTCAAAACCTCACTAGTTATTGGATATTTATCGGCTCAGGCTGTAATCAGCGCTGATCGGCAGTGATGGAAACATGACACCTGTGTGGACACGCTAGTTTTACCCCCTTGTCCTGCACAATGTAATGACACTCAGCCACAAATTCTTTCTGTGTCTGTTTAAGAATTAATAGTTCTTAGACAACAGTGGAGCTCTATGGCACAAAGGGAAGAAGATGTATCAGGTTTTGGGTACTTCTTAGTAGATGTGTTTATTGTTGGTGTTCTCCAGACTGTTCCTTTAAAGCTAGGGTTAAGGGGTTCATTCTGTCAGTGAGAGTTCTCTTAGTATAGAATTAAAAATATATATGCGTGTGTGTGTGTGTGTGTGTGTGTGTGTGTGTGTGTGCATCAGCTTACATTATACTGGAAGAGGAAGATACCACAGAAGAGGCTGAAGAGGTCGGCAGTGAGCAGGGAGAGGTTGACGGAGGTGGCGCTGCTCAGTCTTATCACTATGGGCATACAGCTGTACAGAGCATACATGCACAGCGCATATGCAGAGAACAGGAGCCCTGAGAGGAGAGACACCCAACTGTTAGTGTATAGTAGAAACTCAGTTTTAATCAGGGTAAGCTTTTGTAAGCTCCTGCAAGTCACCAACAGAGGTCGTAGATTAGATGATCCTTAATGTTTAACTTTGTTTTTTACAATGTGGGAAATTGCTGATCAACTTTTCAGTTTAGTCAGGACAAAAGCTCAGGGTGAAAAGAAGACTGAAGGTATTTTATGGCTACGCAACAAGCATGGTTTATATTGTAAAATCAGTTTAGTGAGAGGTAAAAATCTGCATGGTCATCTTCTCCTGCCTTATTTTGTCTATTGTCTTCAAAGTGTTTCTGTGTGAGATGAGTACTGACCGACTTGCCAGCTCCACTGGATGGCAGCAACGTCATTACGTTCCAGGATCACCCTGGGTAAAGGGGGAAAAAACATGAGATTAGCCATAATGTTAAATGGGCCCTAAGTCCTGATCACACCCATACACACTTACATCTGTATGGTGCTGAAAATTGTGCCGAAGAGGCCGACCATGCCCAGGAACTCCACCCTGCTGTGGTTCTTTACCATGTATTCCTGACACACATTAGACACAGCGTAGAGTGAAGCACTGAGCAGCACCAAACCATCGCCGAGCAGGATGTTTGAGGCTGAGGAGGTGAGAGGAGAGACACATCATTTCTGTGGTCCAGAATTGTCAAAATAACACTGATTAACCTGTTGGCGGTTTGTTCATCTGGGTTTTGTGATACCAAACTCCTCTGTTAAGGCATTCCTTTAAAAGTACACTGACTAGGGCAAACGATGAACTCAGTGAGCGAGAAAACTTGAAGGAAGTTCTTACTGGAGCCCTGGTCTCGCCCAGCCAGCAGGTCAGCTCCCACCATGGCCCCTACCCCAAGGAGACAGATGGAGACGGCTACATAGTGGACCGGCCTGTAGCGTGCCTTCACAACCCACCAGGACAGGATCATCAGGATTGGGACCACAAAGCAGTCCAGCAGCTGGAGACAGGGAGCCAGAAAAACATTTATATATGAACACAAACTTCAGTGAATACAGTGCACATGTGCCAACCATGCATGCGTCCTCCCGCAGAGGCTCGTGCTCATTTTCTTATTTTTTCCAACTTTTAGCCCAACGTCACTCTTAAATGTATATTTAACACCAACATAAGCTCTTAAAAGAATATTCAACATAAACACATATTCTGTATATTTCTTATTCTAATTTCTATTGTTGAACATATTGTGTTGTACATTGTAGCATAATGCACATATTTTTATATTAGTAAAATTTTACATATTAGTCTTATACATTGTAATGTAGCACGAGGCTTACATTTTTGCACACTTTTCATACTCAGGGTATTATACATATTTTATATTTTCAAGTGTTTTAAATATTGCTGGGAATACTGAAACATAATGCACATATTTTTTTTTACATACTTCTTACTTTCATACTTCTCATTCCTGCTGTTCAATTTTTATTTTTATTTCTGCTGTAATGAATCACAATCACCCCTGGAATCAATAAAATATTCTGATTCTGATAAGTTAAATTAGTTCATACATACACTAAAAACAGTAGTCCTTCATTAGAGTGAGGAAATCATGAAAGTGACACGACTCCAGCCTGTAGCCTCCAGCCGCATACTGAAGCATGCGGCTGGAGGCTACAGGCTGGAGTCGAACCCGGGCTGCTGCGGCAGCAGCCTTGTATATGGGGTGCCTGCTCTATCCACTAAGCCCCGAGTCTACTTTCATTTTGTCTCCACCCCATCCTATGGCCTGAAAATGGCATTTGAAACTGGCGTGACCCACCACTTTGAGTTGTCAAGGCAGAAAAAGCTAAACTTGGAATGTAGCCAGAAAACTAATTTCTGACAAAATTGAAATAACAGTGGAATAACTCTTCCATACTTCATCTTTCAATACATGTTGTCATTTTTGTGGGTAACTCTACCCATTAGGATGTTGTTAGTATTTGAAATTGGCTTTAATTTATGGTCCAGCCAGCTGGTTGAAAGGGCACTTGTTTTTAATAAGATTTTCTTTATGCTAGCGCCCACCTTTGTTTGCTTGCATGCTGGAACTCATATTTTGAATAAAAAAAAAAAAATCTAATTCAAGTAATATTCTACCATGTGTCTTATTTTAAACAGCACTTACATTTTGATAACTAATGAGTACTAAGCATTAGCAGGAGTAGAAATATGCAAAAAAAATATCTTCTCAGGGTGCCAAAGGTCACCAAATTATTTTTAGTATCAGGAGGCTCATGTCACACGTGTCACAAGTGTCCTCTATGTCACAAACAACTTCACTGGAAGAAAATCTGTTTTTTGTTTTTTTAAATTTGGTTAAACAACTGCAAGTGAGTTCATGTGGTTCATGGGTCTAAGGCCAATAACCCCAACGTTTTTAAAGAAACATGATCTGTTTTTACAACAAAAACTCCAGCCATGACATCCACACAAACATCCCGTACTCACCTGTATACTGGTGAGAGTGGTATACTGGTAGGCTTTAACCACAGCATAGTTGGCTTCCACATCCACCAGTCCCAGCAGAAGATACTTCCACCATCGCCTCTTCAGTATCTGTAAAATATTGCCATCCCCTGCGTTTTAAAGGGGAACATCCCTGAAATTCAGTACTGACATTTATTTGTTTCTCCACTAAGCCTGAGGACAGACTGAAGCTGATTCTCTGCTGCTCCCTGTGGACGCAAGTTGCACCTACCATCTTTGCTTGTGTCTTTAGTGATGAGGAAATTTGTACATGAATTTTCTCAGCGACCCACATATTGAAATGTAATGTCATAAACTGGATAAGTAACTGTTTTTAAAAAAAATGGAGTCCACACAAATACACAGATAATCCGATAATGTCTACTCTTTATTAAGTTGTATAAATTTATGCGTGCCTGTTAGTAGTAGAGGAAGTAATCAGATCCTTTACTTAGGTGAAAGCAGCAATACCACATTAACTATTACCTGCAAAGTATACTTAATGTGTCAAAAGTAAAGGAATGCAGTACAGAATAATGATCCTAGTTAGTGTAATATTATTATGTCATGGTGATAGAATATCATGTATATAATGCTTTAGACAATATGCCAAATTAAATAAAGTTGATATGAATATTATTGCTGATACACTAATTGAGTAAATTTACTGTCTGTCTATGAAACTGCTACTATAGTTTATAACCAGAATTCTAACATATACATTGAATTAAACAATACTACAAGTAAAACAGAAACATTTAGTAATCAGCTATAATTGAAACTATGACTCCTCTGTTACAGGTATTATCTGAGGTGTCCAAACCATACGTGGTAGTGTTACCTGTTCTGCAGAGCAGCATGGTGGTGTAGGTGACACACAGCAGGGTGTAGTTAAGGAGGCTCTGCAGCATGGGTGTGTTCACATGGAAGCTTGTGGCCAGGTACTGGGAGCTGATGGCCGTTCCACAGATGAGCCCAGCCAGGCCCTGACCCATGGCCAACGTCTTGGCCAGCTGCCTGAGAGAGAAAGAGGAGATCGGCACGTCTATAAAGCCACCATGCATATCTAATTTTCAATGTTGTTAGGAGACAAAGATTATATTTGCTAAAGTACTGTACTTAAGTACAAATTCAGTGTACTTGTACTTTACTTGAGTTTCCATTTTACGCAACTTTATACTTCTATTCTACAACATCTCAGGAAGGTTACTTTTAAAATGTCATCTGTCACAGATTACTCATTACCCTGTTAAAAATGGAACAAGTAATGTAACTATTTTAATTACTTAATCAAAGTAAAGTAACTTATGAAATTTGATTATGTTGTGATTTCTTCACTAGCAAATGCTTTAAACTGGGAAATAGAGCTGAAAATTCCTAAAAACATAAATGATGCCAATGCTGACAGCATTTTCACTGCTGGTAAACAAGCTTTACACTGTAAAGAGTCCTTTTCTAATTTCACAAGGTAAATATTTTTGAATGTCCAGCACTGAAAGGTGTTCTTGTCCGACAACATGGCCACTTGACTTGCCGTGGTCAAACCATGGCAAACTAAGGTTGGTAAGAGTACCGGCATTTAGTTTACTGGCAAATTCAAATGAGAGAACCAATTTAAAAACAGGGTTTAAAATGTAAGTGTACTGCCAAATGAATGGAGTCTGTCTGGACGTAGAGACAGCTCTTTGTAAAAAATGCTACCCTTGATGGTGTGGCATGGCATTGCTGATCTGTGTTGTCTTGAAGTAAGCCAAGGAAAGGCATTATTGCACAGTGAAAAGATGCAAAACAACAGAATGAATCTTTTATTCTTTATTCTACAAGCTTTTACTGAAAAGAATATATTTAGATGTTATCACCAACATTTTGATCAGTAACTTTCACACATTTTTAAACACTGAAGGATGAAGTGTTCCTTCACGTGCTAAGAAAATTCTCCTACTTCTTAGGCTAAATAAACTCTTTGAAAACCCTCTTGGATCAGCTAGAAAATGCATCGTCGCAAAGCTGAAAACAGGACTGTTTTTCTGACACCATGAAAAGTTTACTTTTTAGAGATACACAGTTCTCACAGGACAGCCACGCTACAAACATATGATGATCTTATAGAGTATGATGAATTGCTGTAGATTAAACTAACCAGCAGTGTATAAAGGAGTTAAAATGAGCACAACTTTAGTCATCTACAGCAATAAAATGCTGCATGAAGCAGTAATATTAATCCAAAAACATTGCATTTACAGTAAAACACTGTCAGGGAACATTTTACTGCATAATCAGTACATTTACTTGAGGTACTTTAACTATATTTTGTTGATACTTTTACCTAAGTAAGGTTTTAAATGCAGGACTGTTGTTTGTTGTGCTGTAATTTCACAGTGTGGTATTAGTATTTGTACTGAAGTAAAGGATCTGAATACTTCTCCACCACTGCTGGTGACTATAATGTTAAAGGTAGACGCTTTGACTGAAAACTTTCCTGGCTCTGATAGAAGATAACAAAATCTGACTTCAACATGTTTCTCTTCCTCTCATGTTTCCACTTACCAGGTGAAAACTTCCCTGGGGTTGAACTTCCTGATCCTCACCATGAGTCCGCTGCTTCGGCTCTTGTCAGTCACGTCCCTGGGTGCATCCTCGGTCTGCTTAGTAGCCATGTTGCCACACTGGTGATGGAGGAATCCTCTCTGAGTTTTAACTGTTACAAGCTTTTAACTCCTTGACTTTCACTCAATGATTAACTGACTCTGAGGGCAAAGATTATTCCATCAGTAATCTTCGTGTGTGTGTGTGTGTGTGTGTGTGTGTGTGTGTGGGTGTGTGTGTGTGTGTGTGTGATGTGTTAATGTCATGTCAAAGATAAACTTCAGAACTTCAGAATTCATCACTGTGCTTCACTCTCATCTGTTATCTGCTGATGAGATAACAACTTGTGTTGGAGGAAATAAAATTTTATGGAAATGACATTGATGGAAACTAACTAAGTACATTAACTCAAGGACTGTATTTGCATAGAATGTAATGGTACTTTTCTTGAGTATTTCTTAATTACTCCACAACAATTAAAAGTGAATATTTCATTTTATACTCCACTTCTTTGACAGCTGTAGTGACTTTTCAGACTGCGTGTTATGTGTAAAAAAAAAAAAAAAAAAAAAAAAAGTAATACACTAATAACAAGCGGTGCATTGTTACAGTGCATCTCAACCTTTTTAGCTTGTGACTTGTCTAAAAAGCAACTGGAGCCCCATGTCACATTTCAGATAATGAGTTGTTAGCAGTTCCACCAAAAAGAGTTTTTTCCTTTCATCCTCTGTGGTGGTTTCATGTAAATATTTTTTGAGGTAAATTTATCAAATATTACACAAAAAATATAAGTTTAGAGAAAAGTCCAGACGGGGGAAAATTGTAGCAGAACATAGTCTCTTTGTCTTTCCTCTCCCATTAATCATCTCACAGCCACTCAGATTCATCTGATGACCCTTTAAGGGGCCTAAACCTTAGGTTGGGAACCACTGGACTAAACTAGCTAACTGCATATAAAGTAGTTATAACTAGATTCACCTCAAGCAGCTACTACATTAAAATACCACTAACAAACTGATGCCATGTTATTTACCATGTCATTTTGTCTCAAAATTATCTTACTTTGTATTTTTTATTCTATTTTTATTTTGATTTATATACATTTTATTGTTTATTTCTGTTTCCTTCTATAGGCCTACTTATCTGTATTCATTACTGTCTTTGACAACAGGCCATTTATTTATTGTGTGTACTGATAAATGTTATTAATGTTTATTTGTTAACTGGTCCTCTGTCATTTTTGCAAAAGTGATCCCCCAGCAAAGGAAGTTGAGTATCCCTGCTGGACATTAAATTACAGTATATAACGGAGTTAAAATGACTACAACCTTTAACATCTACAGCAGTAAAATGCAACATACACATTAATTCAGCAGTAATATTAATCCAAAAACAACATATAGTAAAACACTGACAGAGAAGGCATCAGATAACACTGGGATAACGTTTTGTTGTTTGGACTTTTACTTGTATTAGAGTATTTTCACAGCAGTATTTGAGTAGGCTAGTTGAATTCCCATGACCTCATCCTGAGCCAGCTGTAGTACCTTGTCTCGCGAGATTCCGCGAGGTGATAAGTTGAAGAAACATGGCGACGTCTAATTTGTTAAAGGTAAGAAGCACTTGAAAATATCGTATTTCCCACATCTGTGTGCAGATTTACAATCTTTGTATTCATATATTTTTGCTATTAGTGCATATATGTATATATTCACCATTGTTGCATGTATGTTTACGCGCTAATGGTGCAAATGTATGCAATAAGTGCACAAATAGGTGAAGTCACAGTTGTCACCGTTGTCGTTGTTAAAGTCCGGTGTTGTGTCGGAGTCTGTTGCCCCAACGACTTAAAATACCCCCCTGCCTCAAACCGGCACCCAGCATGACTCCTTCTGTAACTAAAGCCGAGTCCTAGTCGTCACCACAGTCCGGCTTCCCGGCGACGACGAACCGAAGCCTAACGAGAACCGTACCAAGCCCTGAACCCAACACCGGGGAGCAGGGGGCTCCAAGGGGACACAAACTTTGACACCTCCCCGTGCGCAGCACGACCTGTGAAGCTGTTTCTATTTGACAAGTTGTCGCTAGCGCTGATATTCTGGCTAGCTACCAAACCTAGCTCATCTCAAGATGACAAAATGCACCGTCTTTGTTCACCACAAGGCCCAGTTAAAATGAAATTCTCCCAGTATCCAAACAGGTACAGACAGTGCTGTCTGCGAAAGAGACTGTTCAGGTGTTGTCCTAATTAATAATTAAAAGGGGAAATGAAAGGAAAAGGTGGGATGGTCCCAACAGGGTGTCATCCCTATGTCCCCCAGCTCTTTATTCCCTTAATTTAACAATTAATTTTAGGACACCCTTAACATCTGTCTTCCTAGTGATTTAAAACACTTACAAATAGGTATATATGTCTCTTGATATAAACTAACACCATAAGAGATTGGTAAGGACTCGTATTGCAGTTTAAATAGCAAAATACTGAGGGATATGGGTGTTTCAAAACAGTTTAAAGGACCAGTGTGTAAGATTTAGGGGGATTTAGTGACATCTAGCAGTAAGAATGACAGATTACAACCAACTGAACCTACTTCTCATAGCGAGGATTCCTTCAGTGTTCACTGTTCGGAAGGTTTTTACCGGGAGTCGAATTGTCCACAAGGGATCCTCCTCTTCCAAACAAACAGTTTAAGTGATTAAACTGATAAAAGCACTGAAGAAAGCTGCTTCGCGATACAAAACAGTGATTCTTCTACGCTATTCAGCATGTCACAGATGGCCCACTTACCCATCACCTGTAAATGTGTATTCACCCATTGTCTCTTATAACTTAATGTGCATACACCTTTTTTCTGATCCAGATGTTCAGGAGATTTTTACTGTGAGCAGAAATATCTGCAGAGGTCTCCTCCTCTCCAGAACAAATGGACCGAGTGATTTAAACCAGAAAAAATACTGACTAAAGCAGACTCACGTTACAAATGAGAGTTTTTCCCGATGCTGTTTGGCATATTGGAGATGGGATGGTAGCCCAGCACCTGCTTATCCTTTCTCACCTTTTTTCTCTGATAACTTAAGATCCAGGTGTTCAGGTGGTTTTTATTGGGAGCTGAATTATCTGCAGAGGTCTCTTCCTCTTCAAAACACAAGGACCCAGTAATTTAAACTGGTAAAAGACACTGAAAAAAGCAGTTTCCTGCTGAAAAATCAGTGGTTTGTTTTTTCTACACTCTTATCGCAGAGGGGCTGCAAACTACGGTGGCCGACCCTAATGGCCTTATCTGTTATATATATTGCCCATTCTGATCTACTGTAGAAACATGGCAGTGTTACATGGCAGAGTCCCTGAATGAGGACCCGCTTGTTATGTGAATATAATCAGTCCATTCAGGTAACAAAAACACAACAAGCCCTTTTTTTAGGTGATTACACACTAAAGGAAACATACTTATTTTATTATACTCCATTTTTGCCAAAATATTCCCCTAAATTCTACACACTGGACCTTGAAATCAGTTCAGCCACTGTGGAAATATTCATGTCTCAAGTCAAGAACACTGGGTGGGACCATATCCATGTCGTTAGCGTCCTGTGTTCTCCAGCTTATATCCTCGTAATATGACACATTAATAAGACCTTTTTAAGGGTTTTATGTTCCCAGCGGCGTATATTTCCCTGGGTGAATATGTTGAAATCCCGTACCCACAGCTTATAGCCTTCTAATGTTTTACTCCCTGAAACCTGTGATCTCAAATTTGCACACAAGACAGTTCTCTTTTGTTGTTTAGACATTGATACGTCCGAGTAATGGGCAAAAATGAATGAACACCTCTTTTTGAACAACTCTATTTAGTGTTTAGTATGTACCAAATCAGCCTGTTGAACGTCCTAGCCCTCATGCCATTAATTCCTGACTTTTTCCACCTGCCCACTTGCTGTTATTGTACAGTTCAGCTTACACTGCTGCCTGCTATGGTGAGTCAAAGGGAAGTGATTGAATAGGAGTCGAGAACTCTGCCAGCCAAGGCCAACGATGCATTCGCATGCTCCTCTAAAGGTTGTTCTTCTGACTTTGGTGTGTTTATGAGCTTTATGTTGTAATGTGGTATTTTTGCGCTCAGAGCACTTGAACAAGACATTGATAACTAAGAGCAAATTGAAAAACCAATCTGATGAGCCATTAAGAAATGATCAAGAACCCACATGAATGCAGCACGAGGCTGCATAGGTAACAGAGTCCACGAGGAATGAGTCCTACAACCCAGAAATGAGTTGGTATTGTACCACTCATGGTTTCCTCTTCTCAAAGTCAACGGATTTTTTGAATGGGTTTTTGTTAGATGCCTCAAGTAAGGTCTGTGGTTAACACAAGCCTGAGAGGCTTTCACGTTTTGTTCTCTGACATAAAATACGTCAGTGAATTTAGTGACAGTTTCAGCAAATGTGCATAAAGTTGTTTGTCATAAGAATTAGCAGCTACAGCTTTGATAAAAGATATGATAATAATTGTGATATAAAAAGCACTTCTTAAATAAAACTTAATGTAAAATAATTAAAAGCTATTCTGTTGCAGTAACGCTTGAAAATCTTATTAGCCTACTTGACCCCAGCTCTTAGTCTGTATTCACTCTTAATGTATGTCTTTGTGTATCTCTGAATTTCTGTCTTTGTTTTCTGTTACTGTCTCTCCCCCAACATTTCCCATCTCGTTGCTGTTTTTCTTCCTCCCACTCTTTCCTTCCCATGTCTCTCCTCCAGAACAAGGGGTCCCTGCAGTTTGAGGACAAGTGGGATCTGATGCGGCCCATCGTTCTTAAGCTGCTCAGACAGGAAGCCGTCACCAAGCAACAGTGGTTCGACTTGTTCTCGTAAGAGATGCTCTCTGCTCTGTCCCTTACTTCCCTCTGCCTTATTTAAGAAAGTGGTCCAATGCAGGATCAGCACAGCTGCTGTTGCCTCATATCCTGAAAACAGTTGCTTTACTCTGAACAATAGACCACTCACAAATCACAGCGTACTATTTTAGTGCATTTCAGCAGCACACACATCCAATACATGAGCTGGGTTTTTACCAACAGGTGTTGTGCTGCTTTATATAATCCCCACACAGTTGTAGGTAAGCATGTTGTTGGATTGTGTCCCACTCATAAACTGCGGTGGAAAAGAGTCTTGTTTCTGCAGCTTAACTGTCACAACTTGATGTACAACTGCCTCTCATAATAGAAAGATAATTCAGAATCCAATTTTAAAAGTCTCAGTTATGGACTCTAAGGGTAGTAATTATCTGATATGCTCACTTTGAAATAGAATGCTGTGGTGTAGCTTAACGTTGTGAGTTATTTTATTTTAAAACTTGTGTTAAGACACAAATTACAATGTTGGTGCTTTTTTTATTTAGCCCAAAGCTGTGATCGCATCTGGCACTTTTTCTGAGTTTAGCAGGTGTGAGGTGGATTACATCATTGTTGCTATGCAACATTTCTGGTTATTTCCCCTTGAGGCTGATTTTTGATTTTGGGCTTTTCAACAAAATTGACTTGACTTATCTGGCCTTACCTTAACCTTAAAAAACAAAGTGGGTAATGTGGGGAGTTAAAGTGTTCAGAAGAGGAAGTTAGTGATTGTTCTTTTTGGTCTTGAGAAATAGGAAGAGAAGAGGGGAAGGGAACAGTAACATGGAGAGTTTAATTATCTTGTCTCCAAAAGCTCTGGAAAGACAGGTCACGTTTCAAGGGGTTTCTCTGCAAGTATACTGTATTCCGTGTGTGTTTGCGACATGTTGAGTAAAAGCTCAGGAGAGCGCCTCAGTTGGAGGTGCATAGTCTAATTAACATTGAATGAACTTAAGTGATGTTCCATTCCCATCTTGTCTGTCCTCCAGAGATGTCCATGCTGTGTGTCTATGGGATGATAAAGGACCAGCCAAAATCCACCAAGCCCTTAAAGAGGACATCCTAGACTTCATCAAACAAGCACAAGCTGTAAGTAGTGTGTGTACATGGGTTTGGTTTGGGTTGGTTTCATTTTGCACAGTCCTTTTGCTGCTTCTTTCCAAAGTCCACTACTATCTCCTTACATGATAGTGGACAGATGGAGGGTGGGCGACTTTTTTTAAGCTCTACAAACTTCAGAACTGGTCCCAAGAACAAAGATCTCTCCATAGTCTTGGACAAAGTAATTGTTATGGTCCACTGTTTAGATGCTGCCACACATCTGCTTTGGATAATAATAGACAAAGACATGTGGGGCAGTTATTGCAGAGAACAAAGCATCAAGAGTATTTGTTGTTTGACCTGTATCATCTAACTTTTATTTGCTTTTGTTACCATGGCAGCGGGTGCTGAGCCACCAGGATGACACAGCACTGCTAAAGGCCTACATTGTAGAGTGGAGGAAGTTCTTCACCCAGTGCGACATCTTGCCCAAACCCTTCTGTCAGCTGGAGATCACGCTCATGGGCAAACAGGGCAGCAACAAGAAAACAAACATGGAGGATAGTATCGTACGCAAGGTGGGGGAAAAGCTGAGCAACAGTAAGCACAAGGAAGAGAAGGAGGTGGTTTGAAGAGAGTTACTCACATATGACATAAGAGGAAGCAGCAAGAATATGACCTAAAATCATGAGCAACTAAAACAAGTTAACAGAACAGGAGAAAATAACAAAGCAGGGGAGTTGTAAAAGCCAGAAGAGATGAAGAGGGTGTGGGAGGTGCCTCACATGGAGGGAAACATAATATATAGTGCATAGCTAAGGGTCAGTTAGTCTAAGAATCCTCCTGTGAGAGAACAGCTGGAAGTGTTAATGGTATCAAATTAGTTTGATCCCCATGAGGAAGGTCTCTCAGAATAAGATTAAGTGCTGTAGAGGAGGAAGCTCTGATTAAGCTAATATGATTGAGCAAGCAGACGCAAGAAGTTTCATTAAAAGCACTTCATAAATAAATTGGGCTTTACTATTCCTGGATAGCAGGAAATGGAGGGTAACTTATTATTTAACATTTTTGGTGCAGTTGATGCATATTTATTACTGCCCTTACCTTATGTATTTTCCAGCTGATGTTGGACACATGGAACGAGTCAATCTTTTCCAACATTAAGAGTCGCCTGCAGGACAGCGCCATGAAGCTAGTGCACGCTGAGAGGCAGGGGGAGGCCTTCGACTCCCAGCTTGTCATAGGAGTACGAGAGTCGTACGGTAAGACAGAGAGGATCAATTATTATTACATTTAATTGATAATGTGTGCAGAAACACAAATTTGTACAAGCAAAAATAGAGACACAACAGAGATTGGAAATCTGGCCATTGAAATAAACTTTTACCAGTATTAATTGTTTTTATTGCCAATTGGTGAACAGGTTGCAACATAACTTGAAAACTGAGACTGACTTTCTGAGTTGCCTTTCGTAGCCATTGGACTTCTTTGTAAAAGGCTTGGGCCGAATTTGCAGGGAAAATCTAAAAGATGTGAGGGTTTTCGTATTCCTGTGCCTTGCCTCTCTTCAGCTCTGCTACAGCACTGACACACTGTGCAACACTAGCTAATGTTAGCTAAGAAATGGATTCGACTTACTTCAACAAACGACCAACACCCACCACAACACGCAGCCCACACACGCTGTTTCCATGATATACATTTTGCAGCAGCAGCCTGGCCGTTTCCCTGCCGAATCAACACACTTTGTTGCCCCCGGGGCTGGGGTTTAAATCACGCTGAATTTGAGTTGCTACAGCTGCAAAGTTCTGAGCTGCTATCCACTCTTGTTCTGAAGAAGTAGTGTCCTGGCAGTAGGGAGTGAGGCAGAGGGTCTGCGGGCTGGCTAGCTAGCTAATCTTTTTACTCTTATAATGTATTTTAATATTAATGTGTTACACTAAATATAAAAAACACTACAGCAACGACCACTTTTTGTCCCAATGTCTGTGCTTCTCTCCCACCAGTGAACCTGTGCTCTAACCCAGAGGACAAGCTGCAGATTTACAGGGATAACTTTGAGAAAGCCTACCTGGACTCCACAGAGAGGTTTTACAGAACACAGGCGCCATCCTACCTGCAACAAAATGGCGTCCAGAACTACATGAAATATGTAAGCCATTCTGATACTGATTGGTGTGGTTACTTTAAAGCATGGAAAATGATGCCAGTGGCGAATACGCTGATAAAAGGGGGAGTGCTGTTATCTGCCCACAAAATAATTAATTAATTAAAGCTTTGAAATGACACCTCCCCCCTACATATTTACAAGTCAAGGCTAGATAAACAAGGTGAATAATTAAAAAATATTCACCTTGGAGCCTGGCATATCTCGCAATTTGGCATATCCTTTTGCAGAGCAGAACATCATCTAAATCTTTGTTGTAGTTTCAAACGTCACGTCACACGTCTGTGTGGGTTAAAATATTACCATCTGCAAATATGTCATATGAGTTACACCAGAATATACTGTAGCATTAAATGCTGCATTTTGTAGACAGTTGTTAGGAGAAGAGAGTTGTTGCCTTGGGTGTGTGTATATGCAAGAGTTTTAATTTTTAATTGTTGGTTTTTCAGTGTTTGTAGAACTTTTATTCTCAGTATCTGTGTTGCGTGTTCATGTGTGTTTCTCTACAGGCAGACGCAAAACTGAGAGAAGAGGAGAAGAGAGCACTTAGATATCTAGAGACACGTCGTGAATGTAACTCTGTTCAAGCAGTAAGTGTCCTTGACAGGATCTGAAGTATCAATACTAACTTAACATTTTACGTTTGTTTTCAGTTTCTTAAAACAGTTATTTACCTTGTGTCATCCTGAATTATATTTCCATATTTTCAAGTCATCCTAACAGATTGTAGCCTGAATCATACTGTATTTTTCAGACCAATATTGACATTTGAAACTTTGTTTTAGTCCTGAACACTCCTCTTGAAAGCCCCATAATTGTTATATTTCCTGAACACCCCACGCTAAAGTACGTTCCTGAAAGCTCCATGGTCATTTTGGTTCCCGAACGCCCTACGTTACTTCTAATTCCTGAACATACCACAGTCATTTTAGTTCATGAATGCACCCAAGGAGGTTTAAAAGTGGAGAAGTCAATGCGTCATATTGCATCATATCACTGGGGAATGACACATGCAGTAAAATCTAGTCCTCACTTGCCACTCGCCATGCCTGCCATGGAGTCAGAGACCATGTCCCAGCCCCAACACATATGCCAATTTATTGAGGTGATAGTAAGTCAGTGTTGTGGTTAAAGCTGCTTGTACTGCCCTCAAGTGGTCAAAACATGAATGGATTAATATTTAAATTAGATTATTAAAGAGTTGTATTGAATTGCTTTTGGTTCAAAAAACTATGGTATGGTGACACTGCTTGTTAGTTAAGACAGTTAAAACTTTTAAAATCAGACAAATGCAGGTCTGCAAGACTTTTTTCAACACATGTGTACTTTTCTTCTGGAGTTTGGGAAAGCTGATTTTTCCGGCTATTTGTTTTCGGTTTATTTTGGTTTTATAGCCCAATCACAAACAAACCAGGTTTAGTAAAAAGTTACTTATGTGTTGTCAGATGTGCTAAATGTCAGATGTAAATCTGTGTCTCTTCACTTTGAATAACAGCACCAAAAATATTCTGAAAGATCACTGTGACCTTTCAGGAGTCTCATTAAATGTATGTGAGCCCGTTTGTTCATGTCAAGGTTGCCCCCCTAGTAAGTCTTTGCTTTCTGTGTATCCTCACAGCTTATGGAGTGTTGTGTTAACGCTCTGGTAACCTCATTCAAAGAGACAATCCTGGCCGAATGTCCAGGGATGATCAAACGAAACGAGACAGACAGTAAGTACTGCTGCACTGTTGTCACATTATTTTTCAATAAATGTAGCATGATAAGTAAGGGTCTTTCTTTTAGAAGACACAAATATCTACTAGACATCGTGGCATCAACATTCACTATTGCATCAGCCAGAAAGACTTTAAAAATAGAAAGCTTCTCCCAGTGTTGGTTGGTTTCCTGCCAGCGGGGCCAGGAGAGCTGTACAACTTGCCAACCACACTCACTGTTTGTGAGCATTTGTCTGGTAGCTGGTGGGATTTTTCCCCTGAAACATTTTCCTGTTTTGCTTTGTTGACACCAGTCTCATGATGCCTTCAACCAATTATATAATGATAATAATAATAACAGCACCACTTGATTAAAGAGTATCGTGTAGGGTACACTAGTGTTTGCTCGCATTCAGCTCCTCCAGAAGCCTCCTCTCTCCTCCCTCCTCATCATCTCCAGATGCAATTAAGGGATCTGAACATCCTCAGTGATGTCAGAGGGCGACTGTTTGTGAGTCAAGGGACAAGAGAGGAGGCGAGGAAGCATAAGTTAGCATGATGAAAAGGACCCAGAATGTTTTTTTGCCTGTGTATAACACTGATCCCCCCCTTCCCTGAGCAGGGCTGCACCTGATGTTTTCGCTGATGGACAAGGTTCCCAGCGGGATCGAGCCCATGCTAAAAGACCTGGAAGAACATATCATCAATGCTGGACTAGCAGACATGGTGGCTGCTGCCGAGACTATCACTACTGTACGTGCACAAACACACTTTAACAACAGTTAGCTCAGCTCCTCAATCCCATGTTCAGTCCAGAGTTTTTCTGCAATCCTGCTGACAAACAGACAAACCAAACAGAACACATAACCTCCTTGGCAGATGCAGTAATGGCATCTGTGACATTGGAGTAAAAGAATGTAATGAGAAACACATTTTGTTTGAATCGCTGAAGGTTCAAATGTGATTATTGCAGCAATCACTTATAGGACTTTTGGATTGTAATTTCAACCAAATTTGTAGAGCCACATTACTAACAAAATGTCTTTTTAAAAAATAATCCAATAATTGAAACTAATGTTGTACAGTAGATTTGCTTAGAACAGGCAATTAACATCAGTGTTACTGAGTTTTGGGGCAGCACCGTTTTGGTTGATAACTCATGAAGTGAGAACGTAGAGTGTGTAAAGAACAAAATGGCTGACAGCCCAACGTTAATATTGGAGGGCAGCATCCACAACTTCTATAGTAGTTCTAAATGTGTGTTTCTGTGTGTCCAGGACTCTGAGAAGTACGTGGAGCAGTTGTTGACATTGTTTAACCGCTTCAGTAAGCTGGTAAAGGAGGCCTTTCAGGATGACCCTCGCTTCCTCACAGCAAGAGATAAGGTGTGTTTTATCTGGCTACCAAAGCCATCTAGGACATATAATGATATCTACTCTGTGCTAAAGACATTTGAGTTCCCTCCAGCTCCCTTTTGTTCCCAAAATATGTGTATTCATAATGCCTGCAGCACAGGCAGCATTACAGCTTGACCCCTTGTTCACACATACAGTATGGACTCAAAGTACAGTAGCAGCCTCTCCCTTTCCTCTCTCCAGCCTCAAGCATGCATGTTTGGGGTTAGACACATAATTAACACAACTATGTTTGAGCAGTTATTTTGCCACTATGCTGTCACACAAGGATGAAGTTAATTCCCAGAGCGATGGATCTTTCTTACTAATGTCCCACTGTAGGTTGTTAAAGTTGTATCATAAGCCCTGTTTCCAGCGAGCAGTATGGTGTGATGCAGTTTAGTTCAGTAAAAATACTAAATTGGGAAGCTGTTGATCAGCTTTCACTATCCAGCTGAGTAGCAGTAGCAAACAGCTGTGCTTCTGGTAACTGATTTAGTCAAAACAAGTGCTCCTGCACATCAGACAGCACAAAGTTGAGACTTTGGAGACTTGAGTAACTGGAGATGGTGCTGGGATGATATTTGGAAGTTCAATTCAAAATTAATATTTAAGTCTGTATGTGTGACTGAGGGAAACTGTGCAGTTAGAACAGGACTCTGGGAAATTATTTTAAGTATTTTCTACCTTTTATAGACTACATGAATAAAACGACCAACTCTAATAAATGTAAACAGTCGGAAGTTGCAGCTCTAATTGTTTGGTCCTTACCTGCACATGTTATCTGTTTCCCTTCCCCTGCAGGCTTACAAGGCTGTTGTCAATGACGCCACAATCTTCAAACTGGAGCTGCCAATGAAACAGAAAGGGTGAGTGGAAGCATCTGCTTTGTCCTTGTGGATGTGGAAATACCCAGAGTTTTTGTCATCTTTTCTCTTTGATTAAAACAAGTCACAATGTTGTGGTGTGTATGTAAATGTGTGTGTCCGTCCATGCAGTGTGGGTATGAAGACTCAGCCGGAGTCAAAGTGTCCTGAGCTTCTGGCAAACTACTGTGACATGCTGCTGAGGAAAACTCCTCTCAGCAAGAAACTCACCTCAGAGGAAATCGAGCTCAAACTCAAAGAAGTGGTGAGTCTTTGTCCTATTAGCCCGGCACAGCTCAAGGCTAACTTGCTTTTAGGTGATCCATTTTTCAGACTTCTCCAGTCCCTTTTGTCTACCCTATTCCCCTCTACTCTCACACTTATTTCTTCTTTTATAATATCTCCTTGCAGCTCTTGGTATTAAAGTACGTTCAGAATAAAGACGTATTCATGCGTTACCACAAAGCTCATCTGACAAGGCGCCTGATTCTGGACATATCAGCTGACAGCGAGATTGAAGAAAACATGGTGGAGTGGTTGAGAGTGAGTTACACGTTTCTTTCTTACTCTCCGTCACACACTCAGGCAGACAAAGAAATGCACAGTGTAAGAACTATACGAGGGATCAATACAAATAATATACCAGCATCTTGGAACCAACATCATACTTATCTGTGGGGAATATAAACATATCTTTCTACAAAACCTTTTTTCTATTTAACAAACTTCACAGATCCATCAGTGTTTAACTTTAACACAAGGCAAATGTACAAGAACTTAACCTAGATTTAATAATGGTTTTGCACTGTGATGGTTCAGCCACATCAAGGAAGGTTTCCCGCAGGTCCATGAAAAGTCTTAAAAGGCATTTCATTCATTAATCTAAAAATAAGGCCCCAAATGCTATTTAAAATATCTAAAATCAATCTTTATAAAATCTTAAAAGACTGAGACATGGGAAAAAGGACTTAATTGGTGCACGGCATTGCGTTAAAGGCCCTGTGTACAATGGGAATCAAGGCAGTGGAGTCCCACATGCAGAGTGAGAAATACAAACTGCCAAGAAAACTTAACAGCAAGTGCCAGGTATTTATGAGTTCACTTCAACCCTCGTCTCTGCCAAGAGACAAAAAACTCACACCTCATTAACAGTAAACATTTGGGCAAAATTGTCACAAACCTAAGTAACTGATGTCGCTTAATGTCGCAGTGGATTAATTTCTCCTTTGCTTTGTTGTCCTCTTTTCCTTCATTTGTGTTGCTCCCTGGTGTCTTGTGTGTGTGTGTGTGTGTGTGTGTGTGTGTGTGTGTGTGTGTGTGTGTGTGTGTGGTTGTAGGAAGTAGGAATGCCTGCAGATTATGTGAACAAGCTGGCCAGGATGTTTCAGGACATCAAGGTCTCAGAGGACCTCAATCAGGTCTTCAAAGAAATGCACAAACACAACAAGCTGGCGCTGCCAGGTAGCTCACACACACACACACACACACACACACACACACACACACACACAAAAAGCTTTTTAGTTAAAACAACATAAACCAACTCGACACAAGGGGACAAATCAGTGTAACATTATCACCTTTCTTGCAGTAATTTGTCTCTTTCATTACATTTTCTTTCCATCACTCATTTCATGCCAAAGACATAAACCTGGAAGAACAAAAACATAGTTACAATAAAGCAATAATACTGTTCAATCAGGATTGAGATGCAGTGTGAAACGTTTGCTTTTCAGACTTTGTTAAGTCACCAGTGACTACTTGTGGGGTTGGTTTAAAGGTGTGTAGAATATAGGAGGATATATTGGCAGAAATTGAATATACTGTAATATTATAAGTATATTTTATATAGTGTACAATCGCCTGAAAATAAGAATTATTGTGTTTTCGTTACCTTGAAATGAGCTGTTTATATCTACGTAGGGAGCGGGTTCTCATCCACAGAGTCTGCCATGTTTCTACAGTAGCCCAGAATGGACAAACCAAACACTGGTTCTAGACAGGTACATTGGCGTTTTCTCGTTGGTCACTGTAGTTAGCAGCCCCTCTGCGACAAGCAGCATCAGAGAACATAGATCATAATGTGAAACTGCTTTATTCAGTGTTTTTATGGTTTAATCACTGAGTTCATTGCTTTGGAGGGGAAGAGACATCTGCAGATGATCCGGCTCATGTTAAAAACCTCCTGAGCGTCAGGATCTTTAGAAAAAAGATGAGCACACAGGGTATGAGAAACACTGATATGTAATGGGTAACTGCTTTATTCAGTGATTTTACTGGTTTTAATCACCTGGTCCGTTTGTGTTGGAGAGGGGGACTACTGTGGATAATCAAGCTCATGGTTAAAAGCTGTTTGAACAGTGAACACCGAAGGAATCCTAACAGGGAGTTCACAGTTGGCACATGGTAAAAGTTTCAGCTGGTTGAATTCTGCAATCCTCACCACTAGATGCTAGTAAATACTTCACACTGTTCCTTTAAGGGAACGGGAGGTTATGAGGTCTTTTATCAGATTAAATTTACTGTTCACAGTTTAATTTTGATGTGTCTGTTTAACTAATAATGACCAATCAGAGTTTTTCTCCTGATTTTGCCTACAGCGGACAGTGTGAACATTAAGATCCTGAACGCCGGAGCATGGTCACGAAGCAGTGAGAAGGTTTTTGTCTCACTGCCCACAGAGCTGGAGGACCTCATCCCTGAGGTGGAAGACTTCTACAAGAGGAATCACAGCGGTCGCAAACTCCACTGGCATCACCTCATGTCCAACGGCATTGTGAGTGAGCTATAAATGTCACTGATGCAGTGTTCCTGCTGCCACAGAGCCAACAATCAGAATCTCAGTTAGTAAGGTTGAAGTACATGTGTGAATCGTTTGAAAGTAGTACAAAAAATGACTTTCAATAAATAAATAACTAAATAAATAAATGTAAACATAAATAGATACATAGATGTGTAAATGAATAAATACAGGAATAGGTAAATTAAAAGGTTAAATAAATGCTGAAATGTATAAACAGATAAATAAAAGAATAAATAAATGCTATTAAATGTTAGATTATTGTTGTTATTTTCAGCAGTTGTTGGGCCACCAAATCAAGCTGACAGATCAACACTGTGTTGCCACATTCTGCTCCTCTCACCTTCTCGGCCTTCTCCTTTGTTTCTCTTCCCCTTGTGCTCAGATCACCTTTAAAAACGAGGTGGGACAGTACGACCTGGAGGTGACGACCTTCCAGCTGGCAGTTTTGTTTGCCTGGAACCAGAGACCTAGAGAGAGAATCAGCTTTGAGAATCTCAAACTGGCCACAGAGCTGCCTGACGCAGAGCTACGTCGTACACTTTGGGTTAGACTGCCGAAACGTTTTAAATGCTTTATTGTAGTCTACCAATTACAGGACAAGTTTACAGGATTAAGATAATTGCTCAGGTTAAATACATTATTTGGGACTCATAGGTGAGAAAACACAGCCTGCAACGCAAAGCTTGTTACAGCTGAGGTTGAACAACACTGGCAGACATCAGTCTAGGTGGGGTTGCATATAGACATGTATGTATCAGATCTGAGGTATGATTAACGTAAGAGCACATGCTTAGTTCAGGATTCATGTCCTAGCTCACTGATATTTGAAACCATATTCATATTCAGAAAATAACACCATTACATGTATAAAGCCTTTTGGCATCACACAGGAACGTTTGTGCAGATGTTCTTCTCTTTATAATGAAAGGAATACTTCACCCCACAAATGTCAATTTGCATGTAAATTATTCACCCAGCCAGACTCCACTGACAAAACCATAATTTTACCTTGCTGAACACAGGAGCTGCAGTAATTGATATACAACTGATCATCATGATTTGGGGGTTAAGTATTCCTTTAAACATCTTAATAACCAACTTAATAAGCGTTACAGGAAACAAAAATATGTTGAGATTGAGAGTTAATCAGAGTGCAGCACACAATATGGAGGGTGATGTCTAGAGTACCATAAAGCAAGATGACTGTATACTTGGCTGATAGCATCTGTAAGAAGGAAACACACACACTCAAACACACAAACACACACACATAAATCGGCAGTATTTATAACTGAAATACTGATGGTGTTTCATATTTTTAAATTTACTTTACCTACTCTCTTTTCTGTGCAGTCTCTAGTGGCCTTCCCCAAACTGAAGAGACAGGTGTTGTCTTATGACCCTCCAGTTAGCTCGCCCAAAGACTTCACAGACAGCACGCTCTTCTACGTCAACCAGGAGTTCTCACTCATGTATGTTATGGTGTTTAAAACTTCTAATTTTATTCAGCTAAGAAATATTTTTTAAATATTATTTTAAATTAACAATTAAAATTATATTTATGTACTGTATATATATATACATATTAGTAGTCCCAAATAAATTAACCAGCAATTTCAGGTCAAGTTAAAATATTTGTTATGTTGATCATCTGTGTCTGTGTGTCTTTTATTTTCTCAGCAAAAACTCCAAAGTCCAAAAGCGAGGAAAGATCAATCTGATTGGTCGGCTGCAGCTGACCACAGAGCGAATGAGAGAAGAGGAGAATGAAGGAATTGTTCACCTCAGAATACTCAGAACTCAGGTACAAAAATATACATCAAAACACTCACAGTGTCCTCATTCTCCTTTCAAGGGTCATAGACATTTTTAGCTTAACCCAATGACCCAATGAATTGCATGTTACCTAACATCAACTCAAGTGATGTTCACTTCACTTGTCTCTTCTCTCCTCTCGCTGCTACGTGGCTCAGTGTAGGGCATTGCCCTATTCAAAACACAGAGTAGAGAAACTAGCGCATCAGTAAATTACACCAATACACAGTTAATGGCTCAATTATGCTCAACGTTAGATATGGGTATGTACACAGATGGAGCCTTCTGTCCGTACTCTGCATTCATTTTTTCTGTATTTGTGCACATTTTCGGACAGCTTACGGACACAGTTGAGACGGAGCAGTACCACTGGAAGTCGTGAAGGCAATGTATTTCAAGTGAGATACGACTGTAGGAAATGACTAAGACATTTTAAAATTGGCAGAATGGAAGGAATCAGTAATATTGTGAAAAGAATTTTCCGTCCATGTGCCACAACATATTTTATGGCCTCACGGACCACCACTGTCTACACAATGCCTCCGTTAAAAGGTACATTGTATAGGTACATCCATCTATTGGATGTACCTATACAATAAAGGGGGTATGGAAGTCTGAGGGCAGTGACCTTTACGTTTAAATGAACAAATCTGTTTCATGTTGGCAATATTATATGTCATTTCCAGTAAAAATCACAATAGAAAAGCTTTGTTTACTGTTTAAAAAGTGTAAACATTTGAAGAAAGGAAGCACTCACCCATCTTTTAAGTGGTTGCATCCCCAGTCTGATCTCGAGCTCACAGCTGATAGATACATGGTATGTTAACATGACGTAAGAGAAGTGTGTATTAAATGGATTTAATGTTGAGAGCTTAAGTTGGATGCTCGCTTGCTGTCAGAAAGCTGTGGCAACATGTGTATAAAAAAATACACATTTTAATAGTAATTTCAGCATTCAATTAGCTGTATTGTCTTTACTATTTGATTAATATTCATTCACAAAATTTGCTCCAGCAGCCATATTGTGTTGGTGTTGTCTGTGTTAAGTGATTTGTGAGCCAGCACAGGACAGGAGAGTTGAGCTTGTGATTATGGTCAACACTACAGTCTGTAGAGCTTGTGAAGGTATAACGTTTGCCTATTTTGTGTCTTGTTCAGGAGGCCATCATCCAAATCATGAAGATGAGGAAGAGAATCAGCAATGCCCAGCTTCAGACGGAGCTGGTGGAGATCCTGAAGAACATGTTTCTGCCTCAGAAGAAGATGATCAAAGAGCAGATTGAGTGGCTCATTGAACACAAGTACATAAAGAGGGACGAGGGAGACATCAACACCTTCATCTACATGGCCTAGGCAGCAAGGCAGGGAGCGCTTTCTTGCTCTGTTTTTTACTCCTGGCCTGCAACCGGCACTTAAAGACTCGGCGAGAGGAGATGGAACAAAAGGATGTGTGTGAGGACAAGGAGAAGGGTGAAGATAAGTGGGGAGTGTGTTGAAGAATGAGGAAGAGCCTTTTCAACAAAAGCGTGGGTATTTATTTGTGTTTGTGAGACGCCAGTGTGTTACCGAGGTGAGCTCAGACTGTCTGTCTGTCTCTACCGTCCTCTAGTATCGATCAGAGCAGAGGGACGCCGCCTGCCCGTAGCTGGAATGAAAAGACATAGTGACATAATTAAATTAAATACTTCCTGCCTTACTTTGTCAGCAATGGACTGCAGAGGTGTGCTGTGAGGAGGGAACGGAGGACAAATGTAACAAGCTGATATCAATCCTTTGCTTTCACTTAATGCCACAGCTGCCATCTTAGCGGCAGCCATTTTGCATCCCTCCTATTCTACATTTGTCTTATTTTTGAACTGGGAATGCAAAAAAATGCCGCGAGTGAAAGCTGCCATTGAGGAGGAGCGGACACCGATGGATTAGCTCAAACTACCGAGGAGTATTTTGCCAAATTGTGTGTGTGAGTGAGTGAGTGTGTTAGTGTGTGTTTGCGTGCATGGTGTGTATCTGGTCTTTTAGGTGTGTGTGTATGTGTGTGCACTTTCAACAGCATGCTGCTCTATGATTTTTGTTTGTTTGTTTATTGGAGGATCTGTCACACTTTGTGGTTGTGTCTGAGAAAGCTGGGGAATCAAGACCAGCCGCGCGTTTTATATGCTGATATTTAGTTTTTCTTTTTATCCCCTGTGGCAGGTAAAGTTTCTCAACAGGTATACAGGTATTGTCTGGAGACCCCTCTTGTCTGTCTTGGGAAATGATCATACTGCAAACTATTTATTTGGTGTGTAAAGACCCATGCTCCAAAAATTGTGACATTAAATACCCGCTGAAAGCATCAGAGAGGGAATCGTCTAGAATTGTGACCAGGTAATCAGAGTTAAATAGAAACACAAAAGCTTCTTTAGACTAGATTGAAGCTCCATGTCTGAATTTCACCTCATTAATCCACTAAGAGTGTCATTCTTAATCTTTGCACAATGTCAGTACCAGGAAGGTGCTGTTAAACTAGAAAAACAAAATGTATGGAAGCCCATTTCTGCCAGTAAAAGGAAAAAAAAGAAAGTTTAGCCATGTAATTAAAAAAAAAAGGATCCTGAAGGTCAATATAATGAGAAACCTTCCCAAAATGATGAGTTAATATCTCAAAGTAATGAATGAAATAATAATAAGCTTTTCAAAATAATGGCTTTTGAGATACTAAGTTATTATGTTGCAATATTACATCATTCATTTGACATAATAATACATATCGTATTTTGTAAAAGTTTCTCTTTGTCACTTACGGGATATTTTTTCATTTTTTGTTTTCCTTTATGGCAGAAATGGGCTTCCATACAGTTTATTTCATTGAGGTTTAAAGTGAATGAGCTGCTGTGTTTCGAGGATCTTCCCTGTCTGAGCTATTGTGGAGTTCATCTAGCCATCATGATCTGTCTGTCTGTGTGTGTGTGTGTGTGTGTGTGTGTGTGTGATGCGTGATGCCCTCTCTTCTCCTTTTCTGCCCTAACTCGCACATCCAACAGACACGACTCTCTTAAAAAGAAATGTCTCTCATTCTCACAGTGAAAGTTGTAAAGCAGCCAGTTGGTGCAAAGATGTTTGGTTACACATCAGCTGTGGTTTTAATTGTCTTGATGATGACAACAATGTGGTGGCTAATTTGAGTTCCCTTTATTGGTTTTTATTTTCATTCTGAGTGAAGAAGCTACACACTACGATCAGTACTTCCCTCTGAAGGATCAGCTCTGACTTACCACAGGTTATTTTGATTTTATTCTCAATGGCCATATATGCATGTAGGGGTGTTGTGGAGTCCAGTCCACTGTAGGAAATAGAGAGAAACTCATTCCAGCATTCAGCTGAAGCTGCTGTGATGCTGCAGAGGTCGATCTGTCTCTTCAGTACTGAATTCCATCCGTGTGTTTTCTGCAAGTATTACACTAGATGTTCTGAGTTTCAGCTATTAGCTGTTAGCACTTTCTACCTCTCATACAACTCAGACAACTCTCTCTGCCTCCCCGACTACAGCTACTCAGGGTCACATGTTTTGTTAGCCTATAACAGTGACCTCATTGTTTTTGCATTGTTTGACAATTTTTGCAAGCTGTGATGACAACTGGTGGTCAGTGGTGTGTAGCAGAGCCAGTGTTAACTTCTCACAGATGTAAATGTTGGCCTACAAGTAACAAGAAATTTCAGTACAGAAATGCCAAAGAAATTGTTGGAAGTCATTTAAAAACAATGCCTCTATTACACAGTTTCTCCACCACAGAGCATTCATTCAAGATCATTTTTCAAATGTAAAATGTCTGTCCAGTTAATATCATTAAATTCTTCCTAAAACACAAACAAACAAACAAAAGTGGGACATCGGCTTTAGCTGAATGTTGGATGACATTTTTGTGAGAACTGTGGATTTCATAGTTGTTTCTTTTTCCTTTTCTTACAGTGGAGGCCAGTTTGAAAACGTGGCTGGGTTACTGGGATTGAGGAAGCTCTCTACATACAATTGTTCAGAGAGTGTTAAAGGTCCAGTGTGTAGGATTTAGGGGGATATTTTGGCAGAAAGGGAATATACTAAATATCTTTTCTTTAGTGAAGCATCACCTGAAAATAAGAATCCTTGTGTTTTCGTTACATTAGAATGAGCCATTTATATCTATATACGAAGTGGGTCCTCTTTTACAAAGTCCGCCATGTTTCTACAGTAGCCCAGAACAGACAAACCAAACACTGGCTCTGGATAGGTACATTAACGTTTTCACTTTGGCCGCAGTAGTTAACAGCCCCTCGCATCGGAGAAACACAGATTTTTAACATGGAACTGCTTTATTCAGTGTTTTCACTGGTTCAGATCACTGGGTTCATTTGTTTTGGAGAGGAAGAGACCTCTGCAGATTATTTAGCTCACGGTAAAACCTCCTGAGCCCTAGAATCTTAAGAGAGAAAAAAGGTGAGCACTCATTAGCAGGTGCTGGGCCAGTGGCTCATCTGCAATGAACTAAACAGCATTGGAGAAACACTGATTTCTAACATGCTTTATTCAGTGTTTTTACTGGTTTTAACCACCTGGTCTGGTTGTTTTGTAGAGGAGGAATAGACCTCTGTGGATAAATTGGCAGCTGTTAAAAACCTCCTCAACAATGAACACTGAGGAATCCTTAATGGGAGTTCACGCTTGGCACACAGAAGAAGTTTCAGTTGGTTGAAATCTGCAAATCCTCACCACTAGATGCCACTAAATCTTACACACCTCTTAAATCAGACATTTAAAAAATCTGAACCTTTATTCCAAAATGAGATATTAGAAAATTATACTCTCATAGAGTGATATCTGGCATGAAACAAATTCACATGTGGGATGTTATTTAAAGTGGAAAGAGACAACTTTTCAGCTTTTGTTTTATGCATTACGGTTCAAATGAATACATAGCAATGGAAAACTTGATCCTAAACACTCCCCATGTGACAATTCCACCAGCTTCTTTACACATTTTCATTGGCTGCAACTCTGTTTTGCTTTTGTCAGAGGTAGCTATAGGGAGTTGACAGGTGGTGTTTGTGTGTGTCCTCCAGTGGCTGAATGCTATTAAAAACATATTTGTACATGTTAAAGCAACTGAAATACTGTTGTCACACCAGCATTGGCACAGTGTGGATTTTCACACCCACTGAGTTGCATCACTGCGTTCTTGCTGCTGCTGCTGCTGCTGCTGCTTATACTGTACATTTAACATATTTTAGGTTTTAAAAAATTCCCACAGCAGCTCCCCACATGTTCAGGGTGAATACAGGGTCTGCTGCATAAACAATCATACAGTGAGTTAGAAAGGAACAGAGCTGCTATGTCAAAACAAGATTATCAGTTGCACTGAGATCAGAAGAGCGCTTTACTCTGCAAGCGTGCATGTCAAAAACACTGCATTTGAAAAATCTGAAAAATGAGGCTTCGTCCATTTCAAATCATTTGTCACCAATGTACTGCTATGATTTAACTAGGTTATATTTTATAAGAGTATGTTGCTGTGCTCTGATGTTGGATTTCCTGTTGAACTGAGCATGAGCTCATGTGAGCAGAAAGGAAGAGAAGAGACAACAGTGAATGCTTAGAAATGATTTTTTTTTTTTTTTAATATTTATTCTATATTTATGATGAATGTTACTTTCTCTGTCACTTGAAATGGTTTTTGTTTTCCATGGTTTGCTTTTGGAAAGATGTTTTCTTGGTGTACATTCATAGAGCTAACAGTATTTTTCTACCGCAGCTCTCTCCTCTGTTTCACATTAAGAAAAAGATACAACATTTTAGCCTCATTTAATTCACGCTCCACTTTATAGAATTTAATCATACCTGAGGTTTGTCCAAATCCTGAGGTTGCTGTTCACCATCTTTGACTACAAGACCAGGATGTTGGCAATAATCACATTTACATTTCACACACTTAAAAGCCAAAAGAGTTGTCTTGGTATTATGGTTTTCTGAATGCAGTGAGTCTTTTTTTATTTTTTAAATGTCTGCCTTGTTGAACCTGAGATGAAATTAACTCCCCATGTCAGTCCCATTATGCAGATTTATCCTCTATGCACAGATCTGGCTCAGTTATGTTTTTTTGCAGATGACTTCCGGTTTTTAAACTTCCAAACATCCTCCAGTGAGTGCAGTGAATTGAGTCCCAGTAAATTGGAACTTTTTGAATGTCAAAAGTCCATTCTTTTTTTCTGTGATCAACAAATTACTTAACAGCTTTAACGCAGTGAGCTCCACTCATTCGGTCCCCTCCAACTAATTTAAAGAAACGCAAAAAAATAATTTGCGTATGTACTCTCTCATCCACCTCAAACAATGACTGATATGCTGCAGGTGATGCATCTTGTACTCTTCTTCATAAAAACTGTCAGAACACAGTATGTGCGAGTCTGAGCCGACTGCAGAGCTTTCAGATCGGAGCTTTAAACAAACTACACAGAAAATATATTTTAACTTTCCTGTCTAAGTGTTTGCAGTGTACAAGGATGTCACTTCCCACTGTTTTTTTAAATACAGATACTGATCTAATTTTACTGCCCTTTTCATTAGACATTTTGTATTTTCAGCCATGTTCAACAATAACTGAATGTGTTATATTTTCTCCAATCAATAATCAGTGTTAGCTGGTGAAGCTGAAACATTTCTACAGCTTTTTTTCAGTCATATGATCAGACACTTCTGGTTAAACTTCAATCAAGTTTTAAGGGTAACTTTAGTATTTTGCAGCCTGGACCCTATTCTCCCATGTTTCTGTATCAATTTACATCCACTGAAAGTGTTTGTTCTTGCCACTGACAGGCTCAGATTGTTATTATAAGTGTCTGACAACATTATGCAAAGGAGCATGACAGAGATAGATCTTTATGTTAAAGAATAAGATCCTTTTTGTTTTACCAGAAACAGCCTGTAATTGCCATCGCCTCACTCATCAGACTCAATTTCAGTAAATATGAATGTTGTCCTTCATTTAAAGTCGACAGAAACAAAATAAAACTAAAAAAAAGTCTTGATTATTCTTTCCATTGTTCCAACAATCATTACTCTGGTTTGGTTGAGATAAACCATTAATATTCAACCAGTTAGATGTAAAAATATTTTGGCTCTATAAAATTACTATTTATTTAAATGGTGTCTGGTGGGTTTGGCAATGGCAATGGCAATGGTGATGGTGATGGTGATGGCGGTGCTGTTTCTGGTTAAACAAAAAGGATCCTTCTCTTTGACAAAAAGGTCTATCACTGTAGGAGTCCTTTCCATAATGTTGTCAGATACTTATGACCTATCAGTGGCAAAAACAAGTACTCTTAGTGAACATAAATTAACAGTGCTCAAGTGACCGCAGGGATTGCATTGCACCTGGTTTTGCTTGCTCACTACTAGACAATGTCCAAAAATGTTGTCTCCATTTGTCCCTTAGACACACAAATACCAAAGTTACCCTTCAAAGAAGTTGAAAGTGGGTTTTGGTTACCATAATTGCTGTGTTTTTCTCATTAGATACCCAGTACCCACCCATCAGCCCGGCCTGCACAGGTGGGCAGACTTACCTGTAGCCTTGCATAATGACAAAACTTGAACTAAACACAATCAGTCACAGCCTAAACCAGCTGAATGTTTGCCACTACATCAAGTAAAGACATTAAACGTTGTGTCATTGGAGAGTGGGAGGAGAGTGGTTTCAACTACTTTCATGTGCAGCGTTGTTTTGCTTGTTTAAAATATTTTTTAAAGTTGAATAATGTATTTCCTGGCAAAATAAAGCTGTAAACAACTGTAAAGATAGAGATTTCTGTTTTTCTTCTTTCTCGCTTCCAGACCCAATTCAAAGACTTTAGATTTGTTTCAAAGAGGCTTTCTTTCCAGTGAAACAAGTTACTTTGTATGATTTGTATGGTCAACTATAGGGACAACTTTCAATCGAAGGATACGTTTTAAAATGGATTAACTCATTTATGATGGCAGGAGGGTCATGCATTTTCTGCCAGTCACTCAAGGAGGCTCATGGAAAAATATTGTTCCTTCAGGGAGGGTCTAAATATAAAATAAAAACAAAAGTCACACCCCAGCCACCATAGCATGATGCCCATAGGATAGATAAAACATGATAAAATGTCCTCTTGGGTGCCCCACCAGGGAAGAAAATAACATGAAGTAATGAAGTAAGCATGCCGTCCAGGGTGCCTTTGAAATAAGAAAATGTGGTGCAATGCCATATAGACTGCCATCCATGCCAAAATCCTTTCTAAGAGCTGGAGTCCCACTGCCTGGGGTGTCCTTTTAATTTTTTTGGCCCTGCCCCTCAGACACTCTGAGTCCACCATTGTTCCTAAAAGACAATTTACATGACAGTGATAAGAGAAAGTAAACAGTGTGTCACATTGAGTGGGTTTTTATTGGTCAGTGTGTTCAGGCCTGTGAACAACACGTGAGAGCTTCATGTGAATGCCATAAATAAAGGATTGTTTCTTTAAAAAGAGGTCGGTTTCACCTTTTTCGGTCCCGAAGGGTGGACATTATATTTAGCCGTTTTCCCTCGCATGATTCACTAAAGGCTAAAATTATGTATTTTATCAAAATACGATCACAAATATTTATGAATTTTTAATCGTTTGTAAATCAAACAAAAAGCAAAACAACAAGTGAATGCAAAGACTTTCCTACACCCCCTCTCCCCCACATAAAGCGGTGGTATCGTCCATTTCCCCGGAAACACCGGCGATAGCAGCAGAACAGGAGCCTGGCGTAGCATAAGTAGCAGGTGGGACCGAATTATCAGCCAAAGTGCAAAAAAGGGTAAGTGTTTGAAATATTTAAATAGCTCACGTTAGTGTCGCATATTAAAACAAATAACTGTAATGTACTACGTTTTTTAACCGGTGGATTTGATGAGCCTTTGACGCGTGTGTTTACAAATTAGCTTACGTTAGCAGTGTAACGTTAGCTCAACAACCGCGGTGCTTCGGTAGCTAGCAAACAAAAGAAGTATCCTCGAAGGGAAGGCGGAATCCCAGAAGAATTTAAAATTAAAACTGTGTGTTTTATGTTGTATTTAAAGTTTCCGTGGTGTTTAATCGACAACCACATGCGAAATTTGGTCCCGATCTGTAACATTAGTCATCCTTAGCTCATTAGCCGTGTTAGCATCAACGTTCGCATCAAAGGAAGCGTCCTAACGACGTCATATATGTTTAATGGTAATTTACAGCTGTCAGACTCCTCAAAGTTTTATATTCACTTTATGTATGTGATAATCTTTTTGTCCGCTGTCGTGTGGTAAAAAATGGTTGGTATAATCTCAACCTCTTCATTTTTATTTATATTTCATCTCTATATTATGTGTCTATTTACTGAACCCTATGGCCCCATATTATATGTGACATTTTATTCAGTGTTTTGTTGCTGCACCATACGACACATTATATCTTAAACTAATTTATCCTATATACTATGTTGTATTGTTTTACTTTACTATGTATTGTGTTATACAATACTCTGTCAATACACTTCACCTTTATAGTAGTATTCAAATCTTTTACCACAGTAAAATTAGCGATACTACAGTGTAGAAAAACTGTGTTGCAGGTCAAAGTCCTGCATTCACCATCTTACTTTAATAAAGGTACAAAAGTATCAGCATACATTCCTAAAGTATCAAAAGTAAAAATACTCATTATGTCAGAATGGCCCATTTCAGAAGAATATTATTGAATATTATTGATGCAGTAATATGTTCATCGCTTGAAGGTTGCAGCTGGTAAAGATTGAGCTCATTTTATTATTTCATATATCTTTTATATATATACCTGCTGCTCATTTCGGATACTTTATGTGCTGCCATGTGGCTTAAGCTATAATAATACATGATAGTTTATGAATAATCTGAATCTATAAAGTAATTAGACACTGTGGCTTTAAAATAAATGTTGTGGAGTAAAAAGGACAATATTTACCTAGTGATGCAATCCTCGGATTTACTCATTACGCCTGTAAGAGAGAGGACAAGATGAACTGACCACAGGATGTTTTTTCAAAAACATTTTACCTATTTTTCAGCATTACTCAGATAGTAAAAATGCTGGCAATCGTGGAATCATGAGTTAATATGAAATGTACTTGTAATATTACAATTATTAGTATTAATTTAACAAAACATTGGTGTTTTCTGTCTGTATGCCCACTAATGCTCTTGAGGCTGAGTTGGATCAAATTCTTGCAGTCAGGTCCCCAAATCTTGTGGAAAGCCTGGAACCAGAAAGGTGGAAAATGATGTGCCTGAAATGAGATGTTCAGATGAAATGAGATGTGTTGGCATATGCATGCTTTTGGCCATATAGTGCACTGAATGGGCAAACAGGCATGTGATAAGTAGTTTGCCAGCAGACATGCATTTTCCTCTCAATCTTCAAGATTCATTCATGTTAAAACACTAAAAATGTTTTTAATTCTTAATACATTTATGGTGGTGCTGATCTGCTTTTGTAAACACTGTAAGGTTTTGTCTGACAAGTTGGAGCCAATTCACAATGTTTAGATTGTGTGCCCAAGTTATGTCAGTTATGTTTTGTCCACAGTTTTCCTCTAGGTTTTAATAATAATGAAAGTTGAAGAAAAAAATAACTAATTTCTCGTGTGTATGTTGAACATCCTCTGAATATTAATGATATCTTGCTTGTGTTGATTATGTGTCCACTCTTAGAATCATCCACACCGCCTGGCAGTCATCAATACAACATCCGTAACGCTGGACAAGCTTGTAAGTAGTCTTGTTTATTTCTAATTTTTAATGTAGAAGGTAAAGCTAATGCAGTCCAACATTTATACACTCATGATAGCTCTTAATCTCTTGCCTCTGAGTAGATTAAGGATTATCAAAGTGTGGTGCAGAAAACTTTTTACCTGAGATTTTGGTTTCTTTTATTCTAGAATCCCTTAGATTTGAATGGACAAGGCAGTCAGAAGTACACAGGTATGAACTTTATTGTGCACATTCATCCTTAAATATAGAGGATTGATTACTGGCCTGTATTGTCAAATAGAGGTGTGTGTGTGGGTGGATGTAGGCTGGATGCCTCATGTCAATACCCCCTGACAACATGTGACTTTTTTTATTTTTCTTATGTGTAGCCCAGCTAGTGAAGCCCATTAAAGGTTCAGTGATGCCGGTAAAGAAGAAGAGGAAGCACCCTGATGCAGATGACCATGAGCACAAGTGTAAAATCACAAGGTAAACAGACACAAAGTTAGAGTATGCATGAACACGTGTGCCTGTCCCCTCTGATTATCTATCTGGAGGGCATGAAATCTCCCTCATGTTTAATTGTTTTAGTAGCTTGATTCTCCAAATGATTTTTTTTCCTTTAGGGTGTATTGCTCAGTTTGGGTCCTTGGTGTGTTTTGTGGCATGTTGACCCAACCCCCAATGAGTAGCTAGTGATTCAGAGGCTCTCTGCTGGCGAGGACATTAACTGGCTGAACGCTGGAGAAGCCTGAAAGGGGACTGGCAGGGTTGTCTTTCAACTGGCAGGAGACTTACTGAACCCCTTACCTTCTCATTTTCCTCTGCTCTGCTCTGTGTGTGTGTGTGTGTGTGTGTGTGTGTGTGTGTGTGTGTGTGTGTGTGTGTGTGTTTTGAGGGAATGGGAGTAGAAAAGCATGGGTGTTGGTGTTGCAGTTAGATAACAACTTCAAGAAAATACATCTGTGTGTGCGTTTGGAGTTATGCTTCTTTCTGCTCACTTGGGAAACGCAGCACTCAGCACATACTTGTCCTGTTAATCAGCGCTGCCTCAGTCCACACAGGAGGAGGACTGTAGGAGAGAAGTGTTGCTGCAGCTTATCTAGCCTCATGGATATAAATTGTGGGGGTGGGGGGTCAGATTTATTGCAGGACTGTTGTATTAGACTTCTTACATTCTGAGAGCCTGTCAGACACACAATGTGCTACATCAATGTTATAGTTATTTCACATGTCTGAATAATTGCCTGAATGTAAAAGTCAGGTTAAAATAACTTTGTCTGAAGAAAACAAAAATGGAGATTTATTGATCTGGTATTGTGCCTAACTTTAGTGGATCATAACATATTGAGTATGTAAATAAAATGAAGATGCACTGCTTTAAATTGAGACCAAACTTTTCTATGGATGTCAGTTTTTAAGCCATGGCGAAGGCCACAATGTGGCCTGCAACCGACAGTAAGGCTCGTTGTTTTTCTGGAAAACCTATGGCCCCTACTGGCCAGTTGAGAGGAGTGAGGATTCAGCAGTTAATGACGACATAAAACAGATAATGAAATGCATTTTTTTAACAATTGTGAAACACTGCAACCACAAAAGTTCCCTGAGCAGACAGTCATACATGTGCACACAAAATATTAGGCTGATTTGTCCAGTAGTTTGCGAGATAAGCTGCAGACAGATGGATCCCCATACACAAACACAAATAACATGACAAAATGCATGATCCCTCCAGGGTTACACCTGAGATAAGTGATATTTTGGGATTGACATATATCACAATATAGCTAATGAATGCATAATCACTTTTAAAAGTTTAAAATGATTTTGAAAGCAAAGAATTACCTCCCACTGTTATGTATTGCTTAGATCCAACTCATAAAATGTGTAAAACAAACCTTTTGAATTGGAGCTTACTCAGAATAAGTTTCTTGGACATCAGAAATGAGTGTTTATTTCTTTGCATAATTTTGAATCTAAGGCTTTGGTCTATGTTGTAGCTTCACCCGCCCTCAGATCCGCGGTGCCAGGCCGATCAGTGCTGAGAGGCTGTTCTCCATTAAGAAGTGCCTGGCCTGGTTCCAAGAGTACGCTGGCCCAGACAAGGTGGTCGGTCCCGAGGCCATGGAGAAGTTTTGTAAAGACATCGGTGTGGAACCAGAGAATGTGAGTTCATCCTACTTCTCTCTGACCTGACCCTGTGTTCATCATGTGTCCTGGGGTCATATCTAGGAATCATGCTGAGAGTTAAGATGCTGTTTTAAAACATGAAGAGCTGCAAAGTAGAAAATATGATGAACCTCCATTTTACTGCCTTTGGAAAGATAGTGTCCATTTTACAATGTAGGGAAACTTCCTGTAGACGACAGTACACAGTGTGATGATAGAGGGGATAAAGATCCTGTGTTCATGCACCAGTGTTCATGTAAATTTTTAGCAAAGATTAAACTCATGGCCTCTCCCTCTCTCTCTCTCTTACAGATTATCATGTTAGTTATAGCCTGGCATCTAGAAGCAGCAAGTATGGGGTTCTTCACAAAAGAGGAGTGGCTCAGGGGAATGACTTTATTACAGTAAGTAACTTTTCATGTGCTTAAAGTTAATGTTTCAGATTAGACTTTCTCCTGTTCTTAAGACCTACATTTAGGGTTTTTTTTGTCTCTTTATACCCTTTTGTCTGCTGACACATCACAGCCTTTAGTTGTCAGTAGACCTGTATGTTGAACTGTGACTGTATGTTTGTTTTACATATGGTTCTTCACCTTTTTGCAGGTGTGACTGCACAGAGAGGTTACAGAGCAAACTGGATTACCTGCGCAGCCAGCTCAACGACTCTGCAGTCTTCAAAAATATCTACAGATACGCCTTTGACTTTGCCCGAGTGAGTTTGTTTTTTTAAAGAACAACTTAACAACCCCTGAAAATCTTGTTTTTGCTGTCTACCAGTGGTTTAACTTTCTCCCCTTTCACCTGCATTGATGTGCAGGTGTTTTCCAGGTTGGAGAAGGAGTTGAGATTTTAGTGCAATGTGTGTGAAGCTTTGTTTTCAAATAGATAAATTAAATATTACCTGAGAGCTCTGCAGAAAAGCGACCATCAGCAGGAGTCTGACATTGTCACAACAATTCTGTCACTCGTTGTTGTATTTCTGCCTTTGTCTTGTCATCAGGATAAGGACCAGAGGAGTTTGGACATGGACACAGCTAAATCCATGCTGGCGTTACTGTTGGGGAGAACATGGCCACTCTTCCCAGTCTTCCGCCAGTTCCTGGAGGTAAATCTTTTCTCTCTCACTTATTTGTATTGGTCAGAGTAATGTTGCAATGATTAGTTTAGTTAAGAAACCTTGTACAAAGACTGTAGCTGTCTGTGACACCAGTAATATTTTATCTTTGCAAAATAACTCAGCCTTCCCCCACTCATCCCTCCCACAGCAGTCCAAATACAAAGGTATGAATAAGGACCAGTGGTATAACGTTCTGGAGTTCAGCAGGACCATCAACACAGACCTCAGTAATTACGATGAAGATGGAGCATGTGAGTATACGAGCAGCTTACAACAATACTGACGCTTTAATCACACAAGAAAATGCAGGGTTTCCCACACATTCATTTATTTGTGGGGGTTTGCCACAATAATAACAATAACAACACCTGCCACCATGTATTGATTTTTTTTTTTTTAATAAATATGCCTTTTATAGCCATAGCTGGATGCTTTATGTTTTCGGGTTGTCCGTCTGTCCGTCTCATTCTCGTGAATGTGATATCTTAAGTTTTTTTTTTTGTTTGTTTGTTTGAGCTGGACTGTTCATTGTAAGCACTGTTGGAATATAAATACTGTTTGGTCATTCATTGCGCCATGATCTTGGAATGCAAAAGTGTACTGTGAGTACGGACAGAGCAGCAGAACACCAGGTGCAGTGAACACACACAAAATATATAATGGAAAGTTTGCTGACTTAGAATTTGATTTCCAGTCTAGAGAAGTGTAAGTGACCCTCAATTAAGGTGCAGTTTGGTTCTAAATGAGTTTTTCTGTTTGTTTGTTTTTTTTGTTTGTGTTTTTTTTGGGGGGGGGGCTCTGCTGCTACTGTTTGTGGCTATTTTCACAGTTGGATGCAGAGAGGAAATCTCTGTCTGTGTTGCATCTCATTCAGCAGAGCACGAGTTATATGGCACTGCATGACGCAACACAGCTAATATGATAGCTTCCTCCATTTAGACCCTCTGGTTCTCTCCATGGCCTCAAAGGTCAGGACATCAACAACAGTTTACTGTGGAAGCCCATTTCTGCCAATGTGATGAAAAAAAATCTTTCTAGAAATAATGACTTGATATCTCAAAATAGTTATTATTTTAAGATACTAAGTCGTTATTATCAAAAGTTTGTCATTATAATGATTTGGGCCCCAATCAGACAGAACATGTTTTAGTAGCCTCAAGCAGCTTTTTCTAATGGGTTTCAATGACAGTGAAGCGCTTTGCTCGCTGCTTTTGGATTACAGAGCACCTTGCATTTTTCTGCTCTACGCCCCACATGTTTTTGTAGGAGTGCCCTGAACATGTGGAGATAAAAAACCACCAAAAACTTCAACTCAAAAGAAAAAGCGCCCAACGTCATTGGCATTTCTTTCCCATTGTCCAATCAAAATAATCTAGAGGTGGGCCTTCTATGGTGGTGGCGATGACAGCAAGTTGAGGCGTACTTGGTTTGTGTTGGCTCACTTTCAGTGTCACTCTAGACAAGCTGCAAGATATATCTGAAGCCTTGACTACCTTATAACCTTTTACAAGCTGTAACTAGGCCTGACAATTGACAGCAGCGTGTCAAACTGTCCCTGACTCATTGTAAAATAAGCCTTGAACTGACCATCATTCAGGTGAAGTTCCGAGACCAGCAGGCTTCTGCAAAAATGACACTGCGCTGCTCCTTGGGTTTTGTGCTCTGTCTGACAGGATCATCCCCCCCCCCCCATTTATCGACTAAGATTTAAAGCATTTGTTGGTATAATTTTCCTAAATGTCTCCAACTTTCCTAAATAAATTCAAGTGGAAAACATTCATATTTAGAGACTATTTTCTGTTGTGTTCAAGTGCTGTCAGAATAAATGAGATTAACAACTGAATGAAAATGGGGGAAAAACTGATTTTATAGTACAGTGATGTGATGAATCACTTAAACCATAATAGTGATTATCAGATTGAGCAGCCAACGAAAAAGTGCAGGATCTATTTTAATAATATTTATCTCCTTGTTGTTTTGTCTGCAGGGCCAGTGCTGCTAGATGAGTTTGTGGAATGGCAGAAAGCTTGGTCGAGATCGTAGCAGACGACGTCACAACACCAAAAAGAGAGCGAAAACAAAACACAAGAGGAATCTATATCGTTCAATAAAAAGGAGAAACTGCAGTTTCGGATCCCAAAAACACAACAGACATTAACAGTTCACACACAAATATGGACCACAGAATCACTTGCATCGTCGGCCAGCCGTGGTCAAGAGGCCTTTCTCTCACTTAGTAGACTTTTTATAGTGTTAATTTGGAGAAAAGAAAATGTTCTTAACATAAGAAAGCAAAAAAGTAAGCTGAGAGAAGAGCTGTGGAACTTATGTTTTCTTGATAATTATTTTTCCCATTTTGTGTCTTGTTTATAGATGTTTTCACAATAATAAAAAGGAAATGGAAGTATGACAAGCTGCCTCCTAATAATTAGGATGTCATCATGGCATCTGCCCTCTGTTATATCTCCATGTGGAAGTGTGGTTTCTCCTCTCTCTGCTCCCTCCCTGTCTCTCTCGTGTCCAGCGGCCCTGCAGAGGCAGCGGCCATGATGGCGTTGAGGCGTGTCAAAGAGAGGGAGCGCTGTTTGAGCCTGGGGGCAGGCCCCGGCGCATCAGGGGCAGGGTCTGGAAGGTGACCATATCGCTGGCCGTCTTCGTCGTACTGGTACAGGCGAATGACGCGTCTGCGACGGCTCAGGGAGGACGATGGTTCTCCTTCCGTGATGCCATTTTTCATTGTGTCCTCCTGGTTTTTACTGCCTGTCTCCTCGTCTTCGCTGCAAATGTCTGTCTCTCCATCTTCCTTTCTCCTCTTGTGTTCACTGTCATCTACCACCTCCTCCCTCCTCTCATCTCTCTCTTCCTCTTTACCATTGGCCTTTTCCTCACTTCTTTCCCCATCCTCCTTGCTCCTGTTCTCATGCTCACCTGTCTCCACCCCTTCCTCCTCCTGTCTCGATTCCCTCTTTTCCTCCCTGCTCCCTCTTTCATCTGTCTCCTCTCCATCCTCACTGCACTTGTCCTCATCTGTGTCTGTTTGACTCCCTCCACGCTCTCCTATTTGAAAGAAACCACTAAACTTTCTCTCCTCTTCCTTCTCTGCCTCCCCATCACAGCCTTTGTTCTTTTCCTTCAGATTTCCTCCTGCCACCTCCTCCTCCTCCTCCATCCTTGACTCTTCTTCTTTCATGTAGTCACATCCCTCCAGATAAGCCATGGTTTCCTGCTCCTCCTGTCGTTTCTGCCGGAAGCTTCTCTTAGGTTTGGCGGGGGGTGATGAGGTAGTTGACGAAATCGTCGTCTCCATGCTTGCACAATTTGCAGAGTCACCGTTGTCACACACCTGCTCCATCTCAAAGGCCTGGTTGTAGTACATAGGGGGCAGGGTTGTTATGGTGACCTCAGAGTCATGGTCCTGTGTGTCGGTTTGGCTTTGTTGTTGCCATGGTGATCGCATCCTTGTAGTGACTGCTCCTAAACACCTAAAGGGAAATGGTATAGTTTACACATCTTATACTTCAGATCTCTGCTTTACAATTTTATTAATTTCTGACAGAAATGAGAATTGACTCAAAAGTTTTTTCTTGTCATAATTGACATCTAATACATGAAAGGTCTGATGTGTGGGGTTTAGTGGCATCTAGTAGTTGGGGTTGCAGATTTCAACCATCTGAAACTTTTTCCACGTGTCTAGGGTGTAGAAGAATTGCAATGGCAGATGCATGGCACAAATGGCCCCATCTAGAGCCAGTGTTTGCTTTGCCCATTCTGGGCTACTGTAGAATAACATGGCGGACTCCCTGGAAGAGGGCCTGCGCCGTATGTAGATATAAACTGCCCTTAGACTGTGTGAAAACGCAGCAAGTATTATTTTTAGGTGATGCACTAATAAAATATACTTATTATATTTAATTTCTGACAATAAATGTCAAATCTTACACACTGGACCTTTTATGTCTGTTTTATGGAACACTAACAAGGTCATTATTCGTCTCCTTTTTCCTGCTCTTTGATGTTTTTAATGTAGTTTTATATTGCCAGCTTGTGGATCACAGGTTGGTGATATAAAACTATGTTAAAACAGTGAAAGGCAGGGAAAAGGAGATGAAATACTCCATGCTATTTCCTCTTAAAATATTTTATCGTCGGTGAACCAAAAATTTGCCAAATTGGTGTTTAAAGCTGCACTGAAGCCATCTCTCTGGTCTAGATCCCTTACTATGGCTATAATAGAGAATGCCTTGCCTTTCAAACTAACTGAGATACTACATGGCTGTTTCATAATTATTTTGTTTTCTCTGATGATTTCACTCTTTTTGGTTTCCTTTGGTGTGAAATAGATTGCTGCAAAGATCACGTTTTTTTCGTAGGTCAACCCAGCCAAGTTAACATAGCCCTAGTTCCCTTGACAAAAGGCATTAAGATTTTTCCATTTGATTTTATATTATTGCAGAAAATAAGTTTCATGGAAAACAAGTTTATGATTCTTACATGTTTTCTTCAGCAAGATAATCTTCACAAATTAACACCACCTTTATGATTTTTGAAGTGTAAATGCAATTGCCAGAAGTAAAAAGCTAATGTTAGGCTATAAACTTAATTACACCACTGTGGCATGACACCACAATATAGCTTTAACGCTATGCTCAGTACGATAGCCACTTGTTAGCAACCACCTTTTTTAAGATGCATAAATTTGGGTGGGGCATTTACTGACATATTTTATTTTATGTCAGAGAGCAAAACCTGAAAGTCTTGTTTCAGCTGATTGATGTTCTGGTCTGTTCTTTGGTATATTCAGCCAGTGAAAATCAAGAATATATTTATCAAAACACTAACTTAATATCATGTAGAATGTTTAGTATGACTTGCATGAAGTTGTTTTTTGTGCAGGACTGCAAACTCCTTATCCCATTTACTCAAATGTTAACCAACTTTGCTGCTGTGATTTGACTTTTTTCTCTTGTTTTAGTTGTTCACTGGTCTCCATTTGTTTCAGCACAATATGGAAATCAAGTAGGAGTGAGTTACGTGATCAGTCACAGTGATCATTAAGTCTTCTCTAGTACAGCTAATAGAACATCCTCTTTTGAGCTTTTATGCACAATGAATCTGCAGAATAGTTGTGTTGTCAGATTTTGTGAATCTTCTCCCACTGTGACTAAAAGCTGGGATGTTCGGGCCCTGAACGCACCTGAGAACATGAGTCCTGGTCAGAGCTCCAACACTGAACCCCACCACAAAGGTCAGCAGCACTGATGCTGCCACAGCTCCTGCAAACTGCCCATTGGAAACTCCTGCCTGCCTCTCTTCCAAAGACCCAGCATCCCTCTTGAACCTGAACACACCACACTGCTTACTGTGTTCCTGGGCCACTTGATTGTTGGGACCTACATGAAGCTCATAAGACCACAGCGTGGTTCCCTCTGTGTGCTGCAGGAAGCAGTAGTACAGGCCACTGTGCAGAATGCTGATGTTGGGGACCACCAGGCTCCTGTCATGGTGCATAAAGACGGGGTCCAGCTTACTGTAGAGACCAGGGGTCTGGATGTCTCCAAAGGGGGTGTGCCAGTACTGGACCACACCTACACATGAAAGGGGGAGCAATTACAGGTGAGGAGTTACAGAGAAGTTTAGTGATACATTATGTTTTTCTTACTGTAAAAAATTCCACAAGAAGACCAAAGCCAACAGTGAATGTATGTACCAACAAGTGTTGTGTGCGTGTCTTTATCAAGGCTGATATATCTTCCTCTTCCCTATCACAGAGCTCCACTGTTGTTAAAGCACATCAATGAGCTCTTTCAGAGCTGATGATCTTTCAATGTCTATCATGATTTATGTACATTCTAGTATATCTATAGGGCAAAAAAGTACCTGCTTTCATTATACGTGTCGTGCGTACATTGGAGCAGAGGACAGCTTTCCTCAGGACTCCTTGTGACACAGTAGTAATGCTAAGATGATTATTCAGGTGAATATAAGTTAACTGAGTTGCTCAGGTGTGGAGGCAGGACATACTGTTGTCTCTGTTTGTGTTGATCCTCTTTACTGACCTGCGATCTTTCCGTCTCCGCATTTTAAAGTCAACGCTACCTCTGGGTGACCTTTGACCCTGCAGGTTGGTGCGACGGTCAGAGTGCCCTGGCCAATAGCTGCTCTTTCTGGATTTGCTGAGCCAGCCAGAAAAGCTGTGAAAGTTAACCACCTGGTTAACATTTTAAACCTGCACAGGAAATAAGAGTCAGATGAGTTTATCTTTAAAGTGCCGTAAATGAATCTGTGAAAGCTGGAGTGACAGCAGGGCTGCAGACAGTGATGGAATTTAACTTAGTACATTTACTCAGGTATGATACTTCAGTGTGGGTTTGGATTCCAAACTAAGGTTAAAAAAATAATTTCTGTCCCAAGTCTCAGACAACAATAAGTTTCCTTTGAGGAAAACTCTCCACAGGATTCAGAAACTGTGTTGTCATGACAGGAGCCCTGTGAATGAAGGGTGTAAATAGTGAATGTATTACAGCTATGATTGTCACAGCCTGTAATGTATTCACCTACAATAGTACGTTCTATCTGATCTCACCTCTTGCCCAAGTATGCTACAGTGAGGTGCGTCAAGGGAGCTTGGCAATAAAATCACCAAAAGTGTGCTTGGTAATACCTGATGCCCTTAGATAACACCTGACTGCGATCTGGCTGCTCTGTGCGCACAAGAGGACACTGTGCATACCACAAAGAGACAACAACAACTAAAGAAGACACAATGAAATCAAAGAGACACAAAATAACATTATCTCTGTAGATATGTGGGGCCTTTTGCATATCTGTGTCCACAGGGTCCATTGTTTTATTATTATGGTTCTGAACATATTGGTTTTCAGTGTATCTGTCAGCCTGTCCTGATTTTTTTTTAAGTTAGCAACTTCTTAAACTTAGCAATAAGCCTATAACTTTACAACAGTATGTTTGATCTGTGATATGACAGAAAAGAATATGAGTAATGGTCCACATATAAAAATGCAGCTGAGTATCTTGTCATGCAGTCTGAGTCAGAGATATTTACCTGTGACAGCTTCTATAATTTCCTCTAAATGCAGTCGTGTTTTCCTTTTCGTGTGAGACCACACATCGCACATCGTCTGATGGACCTGTTGGTGTTACAGTCTCCTCTGTGACAGTGTAAAGTGCAGCTTCTCACATGACACTAGGGATGCCTTCTCCTGTGATGATGTTAAAGATTAATAGCATCACAGAGGCAGAGGAATCCTTTTATAAAACCACCTGCTGTGTTTACAACAGCAGTTCTCAACCTAAACTCCCTGAACAGTGAAGTCTGGAGAGGAAGGACAGTTTTATCACATTGATATGCTGCTGTCCTTCTCTGGTAAAGTGCCATTAAGTAATTGAAAGCATTTCTTGTGCTCTACTGGCAACAAGTAGGAACTGTAAAAACATTGGGCTCATTTCCATTTCAGTAAGCACATTCTGCCAAATATTGGACAAGTTAAAACTTTGGCCTGATGATGGCACTAGATGAAAAGGCAGCAGGTTAACAAAGACAAAAATGTTTGAACCAATATCATGGCAACAGTTATGAAGCATTTCACTTAAAGGTACATGTCATTTTTTTAATCCATATAAGTCTTTGTTTTATTGCCAGTGGGTGTACAGGTTGTAATGTAACTTGACTTTCTCAGTTGTCTGCAACAGCCTGTGGACTGACTTCTGTGTAAAGGACTAGACTGGCACCACAACACAGTGTGACAGGGACAGACCTTAGTGCCCTGTAGCAACTTGAATTCAGACAGAGCAAGACCAAGCACTGAGGGTCTGACCCCAGACTGCCCTCTCGACCTTCCCTGGTCCCCGCTGGATCAGCAAACTTCTGCTGCTGCAGTTGCACAGATTACACCCCTCACTGCACTGGCCACCAGTCCGTTGTGAACTTCTGAGCTGGGTTTTGAACTTGCTAAATTTGAGTTGCTACTTTGGCTTCAGTACGAGCTGTTGTCCACCCTCCTCTTGGGGAAGTAATATTATGAATTACTACAGTAATTCACAATATATACAAATATATTTGTAGTGACAAAACTAATTTGTCTTTTGGTTATTGGTCGCATATATATGATGATTCTTTCATGCAGCTGATTTGCAGAGGTGTGAAATATGAATACAGCTCTAGCATTATGTGGTGCTGGTTTTGGTATGAGACTAGTATTCAAACTGTGGCACCCTTTTAGTAATTCCTGTAATTACTACAGCAGCCATCAGATGTCAGTGGTGTATAACAAAAGTCTTGAGGGAAACTTTCCAACTTTACTTTTTTTTTTTTTACAGTAAATTCCTTTCAGTTGTCATAAAATGTTAATGGTGCTCCTTTACTTCTTTGTTTACAGTTACATCCCTCTGTGCTGTATTTCCTACATTTTGTTTGTCTTTGAAGTGTACTTTTAAACAGACATTATCTGGTCTGTGGTATTCTGTTAAATGCTTTACAGATGTTGTTTATAATTCCTCAGACTGAGTTCAACAGCTGAACCATTATTCTACACAACACTGTGGGCAAGGCGATGTATAATGAACAACATACCACTTACTATTACTCACAATGGTTAAAACTAAATCTGTGACAAATAATTCTGATTCATCTTTGTAAACTTTCAACTTTGAATCAAGTACATTGACACTCTCTGAATTTAACTCTCAACATACGTACAGATTCAGATTACAGTTGCTCTTATGCTGTATATAGACATCAAGAAATAATAAGAAAAAAAAATGAAGTATGCAAAAATAAAGATGTGCATTATGCTATAATATATAAAACACAATATGTACATATAATATAAAAATATAAGAAAATCTTAAAATATAAAAAAGAGGTTGTATAAGAAATATAATTATATGAAATATGTACAACTACGTGCATCCTACAAGTGTTCTAACTATAAATGCAAGAGTAGAATAGGTAACAAATAATTAAGAGAGTACTATCAAGTTGATATACTGCACAGTGCATGGTACATACAATACAAGCTAAAAATATACAACTTTTTAAAATCTGTGATAAATGGACATGAAAACAACCAAACAACTACAATGCACTCTGAGCTGTTTTGTTTATGTGTAAATTAAGTGTTAATAACTAAAATGGGTTATACAGGCATGTTTCCTTCCATGTAAACAACAGTAGTGGGATGTGATTAAGTAAGTTTACTCATGTACACTACTTGTATACAATTCTGAGATACTTGTATTTGAGCTACTTCTACTCAAATATTTATGGAGGCAAATATTGTTATTTGTTTTCTTTGTTGACCTTCTTTTCAGCGGTAATATTTGCACAATGCACTGCTAAAGTGCATTGAGACTGACAAAAAACAGAGCCAAACTCCAAGTTTGTGTACATACTTGGTAATAAATTATATCACAAGGCTATAGATTAAGCTAACCAGTTATTTATAAAGTCATTAAAATGAGCTGAACTTTTACCAGCTGCAACATTAAAGAGATCAGCACATTAGTGCATTGCCAATTATAATCTGGTGATATATTTTATTCTGAAATTTGTCATTTTGCATAATAAAAACTTTTATTTTTGGTAATTTAAAGGAGCAGTGTGTAGGGTTTAGTGGCATCTAGTGATGAAGTTACAGATTGCAACTAGCTGAAACTTCTCCTAAATGCCAAATGTGTAGGAGAACTATGGTGTCCAAAGCTAAAACATGAATGAACCTGGCTAGAGCCAGTGTTTGGTTAGTTTCTTACACAGACGCCGATGACGTCAGCACGCTGGCTGACTCTGTCGTCTGTGGACATTCCCATAGGAAAGTTGTAATAGAACTAGCGCCAAAGACAGTGGATAAACCAGAGATATTGGATAAAGTGAGATACCCCACTCAGCTCACTTCCTGATTCAGTGACGTCAGCGCCACGCCCCCGTAGGAGACTTGCGGCAGCTCGGAATGTATTGTCGTCAATGAGGAAAATGAACGTGATCACAATTTATGGTCAATTCTTTCGCCCTGTAGTAGCTAAAATAAATATTGGGTTCGTTTTCCACAAGCCACACATCTTCCCCACATTCTGACTCTAAAGCTGCATTTTTCATCCGCACAGATCAAGAGAAAATTAACTTTGTTTGAGCCCTGTCTGTCTCAGAAAACAAGTTCTCGCGAGATCTCGTGATCTTGATAAACAGGCGGTAAAATCACAGTTAGCTTACAAACAGGTATTTACCGCTAGTAATAAATAAAAAATGCCCAAGCTTTGTGCAACAATAGGCTGCAATAATAGGAAGAATGTATTTTCATTCCACCTGCTTCTCGATCCGCATACACAGACATCCACAGAGCCTCTGTTCAACACGGTGGTGGTGGTGGGGAAGCAAATATTGGACCCATTTATCACAAGCCACATATCTTCAGAACATTCCGACACCAAAATGGCAAATTTCAGACAGACAAATCAGGAGAAAATTTACTTTGTTCAAGACCTGTCTCTGTCTCAACAACACACTCTCGCGAGATCTGGCAACAGATATCTCCTCTCTGGTGCTGAAATCAGTGCAGTTTCACCAAAGATACTGGATTAAAAAAATATTTTTTCCAGCGGATGTCTTAGTTACAACATGATTGAGCTAACAGGAGCAGTTTCCTGTCATATCCGACAACGGGAGGCTTTTAACAGATGACGTCCTGATGTTAGCTTTGCTGCTGCTGTTAGCTGTCCCTGTCAGCTGCAGCCACTGATGCTTTCTAGACATCGTGATTTCCCAAAACTGAATAAATACCACACATAGCAACACAAAACTGCTTTGCTAACTCAGTCATGTTGTAACTAAGATATCCGCTGGAAAAGATATTTTTTTCACGGACCGTTTAAGAGTTATTACCTATTACAGATGCCGCTAACGGCTAACGGTTAGCCCAGCTAATCTACAATAACCAAGCGAGGTTGGGGATACTCGTCTTTGATTGAGCTACGGGGGACAACGCCTACTTAGGAGACCGGAAATGTATACCATTTCATACAATGGGGGTATATTGTAGGTGGGCCATCTTGTTATAATACAGTATCTTTGCTAGCGCTGGCTCCCAGCGGCAGTGATGTGACTGGATCCCAATCTGTGTACTTCCGTACTTCCTCGACCAATGGCTGATTAGCTTTGCCTTACACCCGCCTACACTGGAAATGCTGTTCCCCGAATTGTTGTCCATAGTAGGCTACAACAGAAAAGGAAGTGTTCAGTTCATTGCAAGAAGAGATTAAAATGGATGTGATTTCATTTGATTCAGCTATATTGCATCTCTGTTACATGTAACACAGGTGCCCTACCTATGGCAACGCCGTCACAAAGTCTGGATATCCCCGTCCATTTCTATTACAAAACAAAAGACGAATGTCCCCAGACTCCCATCCCGAAGTATGGGAGGCTGGTCACGTATAGTGGTTGGTTTGTCTGCTCTTGGCTACTGAAGAACAACATGGTGAACCCCATGTAAGAGACATATGTAGTTGGAAACAACCTATTCTTAGGTCAAAAAAAAAAAAAAAAACAACCCACAATTCTTACTTTCACGTGATTATAACTAAAATATAACTTTAAATGTTAAGTACCATTTCTGCCAAAAGATACCCCGGGTTCCTACACAGTGGCCCTTTAAGTTTTTTTTGATGCTGTTACTTTTGTACTTTTAATTTAGTAAGAGTTTGACAGCAGAACATTTACTTGTGACAGGGTATTTCTACAATGTAGTATTGCTACTTTTACTTCAGTAAAAGGAATGAATAACGTTACTTTTCTACCACTGATAAACAACAACAGTGATCGGAGTCGCTTAAGTTTGTCCGTGCCGGACCTGAAGGCATCATAGAGTCAGGCTCCGGACTTCAAGAGAGTGAAGGCGGGTTGGAGCTCCAGTGTGTATGTTTGTGTGTGTGTGGTTTTACGTTTACAGTTGTATACTGACTGGAGAGCTCTGCACATCACCGACCTGACAACCAAGAGAGAGGGAGTAAAAACATCTAAATCCTCCCGGGAGGAGAAAAGAGCCGCCGCGTGAGCCAGCCAGGGAGCTGACATTTAACTGAACATTTTTCCAGGTAAAGTCTAATTAGTTAAAGCTTAGCAACTTCGCACTGATACAGCTTTCAGTCATC